CGTAAACGGATAAATTGGTTTGAATGCATAATATATAATTTTCCTGAAAAGTTGCTCACATTTGATATTATAATAAGAATTGAATTAATTGAATGAAAATGGAGCATTAAATTAAAAAATTTAATTTGAAATTTTAAAATAAGAGAATATAATCTAATATTATTCGATTTAATTAAAGTTGTCATAACCTCAATTCAAATATATTTTAACATTTTCTTGCTACTTGCTACATTTTCATTACTATCATATCACTATCACTATTTTCTTCATACTTGTATTACTAATACTAAATTAAGATTTAATATCATATTTTACACTAATTAATCTGAAATTCATTTCGATTTTTTTTTTTTTTTTTTTTTGAGATTTTGATTCATATGAAGAAATAAAAAAATGTGGAAATAAAAAATGGAAAGAAGAAAAAGTTCATAGTGTGAAGAAATTAAACACTGAAATACCATCAATTGTAAATAATTGTGAGAATACTACGAATTGTGAAACATTTAATCTGCATTTAATATTTTAGTTAATTAGAATTTATTTAAACTTTTTCAAATTTGATTAATAAAATTATTTTTAAAATTTAGAGAAAGCAAACGAAAATCAAATTTGACGACGTATTGTCTGAATTGAGAAATTTCTCGTCTAAATTATTGACAGATACACTGTTAATTTTAAAATTTGGAAGTTTGAAACTGTTTTTTCCTTTTTTTTTTGTAATTAAAATTGTTATTCTAAATAATATGTTGCCTCTCAAAATTTTTTAGCTTACTTAACAAACAATGCTTGTCAAAAGTTATCATTAAATTGGAAATGTTATGATACGATGAAATCTTTACTAAGTGGGAAGAAAAGCATAAGAGACAGTAAAGACAATAAAATATTATCTTTGAATTAAATTCCATTGGTTTGTGTAATTTTCTCTTTCATTTTTCTATTCTTTCCTTTTTGGAAAAATTTAAAAAAATGATAGAAATATATAATGAAATTACAGAAGAGTGAATTTTAACACAATGAAGCATAAATTCAAAGTAGAAATTGAAAAAATTTATTAATTTTAATAGACAATATTAATGATACTAACAATTTAATAATAATAGTAATAATAATAACAATATAATAACAATAATAATAATAATAGGTAGATATCAATGAAAAGTTAAACATATATTCATTGATAACAGCAAATGATTCATTAACAAAGCTAATAGCTATTCAAGAATGTTGTGATAACAAACTTCTGGCATTGTATTCTCTTGGACGAACTATCATAAATGATAATGAATGGGATGTTAGGGATGAATGAAGTAATTCAAATTTGAATCACTGATTGAAATTTAATACTTCTATTGGTGAAATTATTGATTACATTTCAGTAAAATTATTGCTATAATTTTTTAAGGCTCATAAATATGATATTTAGTAATGCTATTACAATTATTCCATTTTCTCATTTATTTCATATTGTTTGCCTAATTGCTAGAAAAAAATAGCATATCAAATTTGAATAGTTATAAAATTAAATGAGAAATCAAAAAAGACAAATTAGTTCAAATAACAATTTTTGTATAATATTAAAATTTTTGCCATTATTTATTTTTTTAATTTGAGATGAAATTAAAAATTTGAATAATGCAAGTGAAGAATTAGCAGTAAATTCATTTTTTATATACCACAGGTAAAATGAATTAATGTTAAAATATCAAATGAGTACAGATGAAAATAAAAATTATTCGTTATTTAAAATCTGATTTTTCTAATAAAATAACAAATTGGGATGAATATTTTATTATTTTTAAGTGTTTTTTAAAATCATTTGTACATTATCGGATGAAAAAATAATTATTGTTTTTAGAATTTTTCATTTTCTTTCTTTAAACAGTACTAAATGAATTAGCATTTATATATGTTTGCATAATCTAATTAACAAATTAAATTTTTGAACTTTAAACAATTGATATGAATTTTAGAATGCAAACGATAGCAAAATATATAACAAAGAAGAATTCAATGCTACGAAGGCTAACAGTGTTAATTTAATTGAATTTATTAGCTCAAATAATTTTACTAATGGTTTTTCTGCTGGGTTTTATTCTGCTTTTTTAAAATCATTTGTACATTATTATCGGATGAAAAAATAATTATTGTTTTTAGAATTTTTCATTTTCTTTCTTTAAACAGTACTAGTGTAAGAAATATGTCAAAATATTAATCATAGAATTGAAATTATTTTTATTCCACTAAAATAGAAGTATTAATTATTTTAATAATTACTTTCAATAATTTCTCAATACTATGATGATCTAGAAAAAAGCAAAACTTAATTAAAAAGTTAAACATTGTTTTTCTATTAATGAATAATTAAAAGATTAGTTAACAAGTATTCAGGAAACAAAATTTAATTCCAGTGTTTTTTTTTTTCCTTTTTTAGAATCAAATAGAATAGCATTTTCTTTTCGACTTGCTTTTCTTTTTCTCTATTTTTAGAAAAATGATATATTTCTAAAAATTTTCATATTTCTACTATCACTTTAATTATCATACTGTAATCTAAATATGTAATTAATTGGAAGCATATTTCATTTTAATTGTAATTAATTCGCGATGAAAGAGCTATAAAGCAACTATTGCAATTATATGTAAAATTAGAACTTTCAATAAATGAAACGTTTGTCAAATCATTTTATTATTATTTTGTATTAATTTTATTTGTGAAAAGTTGTTCATTAAATCACTGCAATTGCTTTTGAATACATGGATTATGAATTAATATCTTTATTGCTTTGTGCGAGATTTTTTTTTTTTTATTGAAACGATTAATGATTGCATATCGTATTTTTAAATTCGAATTCCTTAATTATCTTATTACTGTTTATATTCTTACTTGATCATTTTTTTTTACTGTCAAATGATATGCTGAGATTTTATACCCTTGTCTTGAGTTTGATAAGAATAAAAAAATTGTTACTAACGTTTTATCACACAAAAAATGTTAGCATTCTCGTGTTAATGTTAAGAATAAATTCTCATTAAAATAATATAAAATAAATATGAGTGATAAATTAACTGATATGAGCAGAAATATTTGTGAAAAAAAAGGATATGACAAATTCTTGGATAAGTATATTTGCGAAGTATCACTTTTTATTCTTTTATTTGTTTGTTTCTTGCATATGTGATATTGAAATTTGAATCATACTAAAGAGAAAAGCGAGAATTACAAAAATTTAAGCAAGGCTATTAGCGTATTTGCTTGAAGATTCATTAAATTTATTTCATATCTTAAGATGACATTTAAACATTAATTAACAAATGCTAAAAATTTAAAATTACTGATTGGAAAATATATCACAAACGTGTTGATAAACACATTAAAAGAAAGTAAAGTATGAACGAAAAAAAAGTATAAAAGTAAAAAAAAAATGTAAAACATCAACGAATTGATATGGAAACATTTTGAAAATAATATATTTGGTATAAGAGACTTGTCATCTTATCACTTTATAAGGTCTAATTGTGAGCAAATGTTTATCTATGCATATAGCAGACTAATGCACCAGACTATGGCAGAAATTATTGCATAAAATCTGTAGATCTAGTAGATTTAGACTTAGGATTAATTTATTTTATTATTTTGTGTTTAATGAGAGAAAATGAAAAAACTAACATTGTTAATCAATTAAATCTGATTCAAATTTCTTTCACATTCCCTAACTTCTAAATTATGATGAGCAGATGGTCAAAAAATTCAAGGATTTGGAACACAAATTTCAAAATATAGTTTTTTGTTTTCATTTGCAGTGGGAAATTATTTTTTGCTTTTGTTCTTTCCTTCCTTCCTTCTCTCTCTCTCCCTCCTCTCCTTTCTCTCTTTATCAATTTATTATCGATTAACTTTTTCCATAACAGATAATTTTCTTTTTTTTAAAAAAAAAAATTAAACAAGCAAAATATTGCATATGCTACGATGCGAAAATAAGTGTTAGAAGACAATGAAATTAAATTCACTAATTGAAATTAATTATTTGAGACATTGAGAATGTACAACATGAATTTAACGACATTTATAATATGAAGTGTTAGTCCTGAAATCACAACAAATCTAATGAAATAAATATTATTGTTCGGAATTTATTGATTAGATCAGCTATATAATTGAATAATTGAAGTTAAATTTGACCAAGATTGGTTCCACATTCTCTAATTGCTAAATTTTTATTCCTAACAGATAATTTATAACAGAATTTTGCAAATAATGGAAAATTAGTTATAATAAATGAAATAATGTAAAAATTCAATGTAGGAAAAGTAACGTAAATTTTAATGGAAAATTAAGTTCATTAGATAACTAGAATTATATTTCACTAAATGATCAAATTGCAGTTTGAATTTGCTAATTTTCTTAGACAAATTAAGTCATAATTCAAAATCTTCAAAACAAAATTTTATCCCATACAATTAAATTACAAATTTAAATTTCAAAGTAAAATTATAGAAATAATCGGTTATCAATATTATGCTGATTGACTTCTTTTCGACAACACTAACAATTATCACAATAATTCTATTTTAGTGACTCTTGAATCATTTCAAATAATAATTTTCTATCGAATCTGATTTTTTAAAGTACTATAATAACTAGTAAAAACCATAACACGTTTCTGCATACGCAACAGCGTGACATTATTGTCCCGTGAAAAATGACGTAAAACTAGTTAGATATCTCTGCATTGAATTCACGTAACTCAGAATAATGATAGTAATAATAATGAAAATAATAATAGTGTGAAAATATTCAAATTTTAAAACTTCTTAAAGCAATTTTGCATGATATTATCATTCATGCCTGAAATAATGTCTTCATATAACTTTTCAAAATTAAGGATACCCCTTGACCTCCTAGCTTTCCGTCCTCTTTTCCCACAGCCAAAATATCCGCCAAAGTTTATCTTAACTACAATTCAATCCCAAATAAATAATATTACACATAAATAAATGTTATGCCTGTATTTTACGGTTAGCCGCATTTAACTGTTCCTTGACTTAATAGTTGACGTAGTTACGTCATTTACGTTTCCTTATAAAACTGCTATTTCACTTATGCTTATGCAGTTATGTTTGCCTGTTTTATTGGCTTATCAATATAATTAATTTTTCCTTTTGTTTTAAAATTTCAGAATTACGTGACACACAGCTTTTTATAATTGTGATGCCTTTACCACCAGCACTTCTTGCTCGACTTAAACGACGTGGAATTATTCAAGAAGGTTTGATAATTCATTAAAAACTACATTATGTTGATTAATTTAAATGAATGTTTCATTTTATGTTGAGGGGATTCATTCAGTTTAATCAAATTTGTTAATATGTTAATAAAAGATTCATTTTATATGAAAATTAGCAGTTTTGATGATACATTTGGTCTTATTTTATGACATTGTAAAATTATAGAATAAATTTTTTTCTTCTCCGATCACTATTGCAAAAATTTTACTGAACAAAAAACATAAAAGTTACCAATAAAAGTGATATATTTGTAATAATTTGTAGATGCTGCTGAAGAAGTGATAGCAGAGAGCTATGATGCGGAAATACCTACTGGAATACAAAGTAACGTACGTCAAAAAACGGAAAAGAATGCTTCGGGAGCTCGTGGATGTCCGAATAAATGGAATCCGTATCACTACTGTGTACAATTTTGCTATGATCATTGGAAAGATGGGACAAATGAAAATAGGTTTGTTGTTTTCGCAGCTTCCGTTCGTTTAAGTTACTATAGCTTCTTTTGTATTTCAAAGATATCTTTGAAATTATCACAAAATTACTTTTATTGCAGTAGGTATGTTTTTGATGGGGCGGATTCTTAATTAAAGCATCGTTTTATCAAATTTTCTTAATTTATTGCAATAATATTGCAGTGCAGTCAAAAATTTTTTTGTTTGCAAGAAGTAATTATTTTATAAATACGCTAGCATGTAAATTTCCACTTTTCAGACTTACACAAAGATATCTTGATCAGCGAGCTAAAATTGTGAAGAAATATCCATTGCCAAATGGTATGTTTGTAAAAATAATAGTTAAATTTGTTTTCTGCAGGTTCTTTTTTTTGTGAACATTGATTTTTTTCCCTTGAAACTGTTGTTTTATAGGTTGGAAAGAAGTTTATGACCCTGGTTGCATGCGTCATTATTATTGGTGTCCACGAACTGATGAGGTATCTTGGCTCCCTCCCAGACATCCTTTGGCTGTTATTGGAGATGCTGCACCGAAAGTTGCGAAAGGTTTTGATTATCATTTTAATTAAAATCATTTTAATTTGGACTCACTTGTCTTGATTTGGTTTAACTTAGTTTAATTAAAATATTTTAATTTTCTTGTTTGATTCTGAAACGCTGTACAGTCTTTTTTTTAGAGTTATTTGAAAAAGGTGAAAATACTAATGGTCTTGGCGAGGGTAGAAAAGATGGTAATGAAAGAAAGGATGATGAGGAAAGAGAAGTTTACAGAGAGGATCGGGGAGGTATAATCAAACGGTATGATGAAAACAGGTCGAAGAGAAAGGTTAAATTTGCTAGCAGTGGTGTTTCTCTTTTTAATCAGAAAAGAAAAGAGAAAAATAATCTCTTACTGATAATTTGCTTTCGTTTTAGCGAAGAGGTTCCATATCAGATTCAGAAGTTAGCGATCGTTTATCAGCTTCTGAAAGTGATGAGGAAAGCAGGCCTGAGCTGAATGACAGAGATAAGCTGAGTGAGTTCCATTTATTTTATTTCAGAAATAAAAGTATGTTCCTTCATGAATCCCGTCACGATTTAAATAAAAGTGAAGTGATTTTTATTAGTACCTTGAGCGAATTTTTTTAAGTTTTTTTTTTTACTTTATGTTGATGTTTAAAGCAACAGGAATTATATGCATGAAAGATGTTTATGATTTATATCAAAACATGAAATAAATTTTAAGTCATAATGTGCCAAACAAAATATTATTGAAATCTTATTAGTACAGTCATGTTACCAAACTTTAAATTGGGTTTTGTATGTGAATATGTTTATGTTTCTCAGAACGTGCCAAACGAAAAGGAATCGATCCAATGGATCCAGCTGCTTACGGTGACAATGTTCCTATGTATGTTTTTTTCTAAATTGCAAATTCTTTTTCCGGCAACACTTTACAGTTATTCACCAAAAGATTCCATCTTGCTACTCCATTTTTGCTGTTTGAGTTCAAGTCTGATTTTTCTTTTTTCAAGAACAGAGTAGCACACTCAATATATTTTAGGGCTCATTTTGTTGAATGATCGTTCTTGTATTCACTTGAGGTGTACATTAGAAAATCAAAATATTGGAATATAGGAATAAAAGAGCTAGTCAGCAAGATTATTGAGTTAGGTGTCACAGAATGGTTTTTTAATTTTATAAATGCAATGATATACATGAAATTTTTCAGTGGTACATGGAGTTCTGGTTTACATGCCCACGATAAAACAGGTGCCGATGTTACAGCTAGTGGTCCTTTGTTCCAGCAACGGCCTTATCCTGCTCCAGGTGCAGTTTTACGGAGGCAGCAAAAGGAACGAGAGAAGTAGTCCTTGGAATGATATTTTTCTTTTTTATACGTTCTTTTTTTTTTTTTTTTTTTTTTTGTTTTGTCTCTATTTGAATGTATAAAAAGATAAATTTTGTGATCACTTGTATTACTTTTGCAGTTGCATTTCATATACATTTATTTATTTTCATGCCATTGTTTCGATGAATTTGAGAATATTCCTTCAAATCTGTAATTTGTCAGGAACAAATTTGCGTTGTTTTATAGAAAGATTTATTGATATTATTTTACGTTCAATGATTAACAGTTATCAGTTGGGGAGGAATAATATGATGCATTTATTAATGTTTGTCCTAGTGAGATCTGTGAAATGGTTACCAATGATGATGCATTCCTGGAATCAACTGAACGAAGGACCGTTACATTTAGCATTTCACGTAGGAATCCAGCTTATGGAACAGTTCTTGCTCTTTCTGCGACTGGTTTCAGTATTGAAAAGTCAATTATTTTCACTGACGAAATGTTCAACGAAATGATACTGTAAGTTCAAATGCAGAGCTGTGCTTTTTCTCGGTTTTTCTCGAGTTTGGAATTTAAATATCTCTCGCCACTGGGTTTTTTGAGTCGAAAAAATTTATTGTTTAAACAGCATCAATTTTTAACTTTTATTTGTGAATATAAAAAATCTTCATAGCATTTATTTGTATATTATCATTTTTATATATTATTATCAGTGAAACGATAAGGAATTGAAACTTCAGTATACTAGATGTCTAGCCGTTCTTTTTGCTGGAATATTCACATGCTTATATAGCTTATGCAGCTGCAGAGACGATTTCTATACGTGAATTCATTGCAACATTCGTTGCACTTAAAATGATTTCTTCATATATCATTCTGTTTCTCATTCCAGAGATGGGATGAAATATACAAATGACGCTTCCATAGCGCGTTTCATTGTTCGTAGTTCTGATAAAGCGGGTGATTTGTTTGGAAGGGATATTATTGAGCAAGCTGTGGTAATTGCTTTTCTTTTTATTCGTGGATGATTTAAATTTTTAGACTTTGGGAGAGGTTGGTTGATCTCGGGGAGATTCGTTGGATGTGGATGTAAATATGTGGGTAACAGACGAATATAATAATTCTTTTATTAGCAGAAACAATAGTACAATAATTGGTAAAAAACACAATATCCCCTCTCAACAAGGGTAACTGGTCTCTTTATGTAGCAAGCACCATATATTTTAAAGTAGTTTGGTAACCGATTAATTTAGGTTTTTAAATTTTATGCCCAGTTTATCCCTTATTTTGCATTTTATTTTTAACCTTTTTTAGTATTTCGGTTTGCTACTGGTTATTCATGAATTTTCTTAATTTAAATCCTTTAGAAGTAATTCTCGGTTGATGGAGTGGATCGATATTCTTTACTTTTTTTTTCAGATTTTTTGTTTAGATTGATTTCTGGGTGATAGCAGTTGAACGGTATTTAGAGCATGATGATTTGGGGGATTTGATGAGATCAGCTCAAGAAAAATTAACAAGTAATTTATATCTGTGCCTGAATCGACGTACACTTGCGGATATTATGCTGTGGACTGTTATAGCTGCAGATGCCAAGGTAATATGTACGCGTTTTTTTGCGGATACGAAATTTATTGCGTTTCATTTATTACAATTTGGTTGAATATGCTAAAAATTAAAATTATTTAAAACCATTTAAAATCTAAAGTCTACAATCAACTTTTAATTGATTTTTGACAACAGAAATGCTTTTACATTTCTTTTTTATAATCCTTTAATGAGGGCAATAGAAAATCTTGCAGGCTCAACAACAAAAACCTTTTTCGACATTCTTTGAAAGTATACTGTATGATCCCTTATTTGCTGATGCGCATCATGCTATTGGCAGATTTCGAATAGGGATCCCAGAAAAGTTAGAAAACGAGAAAGTGGAGTCGGTAAGTCTAGATTATCCACGTAACTTTTTTTTCTGATCTTGAAACAAAGCCTTATTAAGAAGTGAACTAATAATGAGTCTCTTTTGAGTAGCAACGACGTGTAGTCTTGGGATCTTTTTTACTAAAATAGTGATAGATTGTTTTTATGATATTGTCGATATTATCTTTAATTTTTCCTTGATTGTGGAACACTGTAGGGAATTATAGGGAATCACTTGTTAATATACTTCAATTATGTCTATTGTTGGAAGTTTAGAAAACTACAATGGCTATCAAAGGCCAAAAGGAATCAACTAAAAGTGTTGAAGGAAAGAAAGCGCAAGACCAACTAAAAGATGAAGGAAAATTTATAGAATTGCCAGGTGCAGAAAAGGGAAAAGTGGTAGTTCGATTTCCCCCTGAAGCTAGTGGGTGAGTAATTTTATCTCTGCTATAAATATATATTATCTAATGCAAAAGAATCCTTTTTTCCAGATACTTGCACATTGGACATGCTAAAGCAGCTCTTTTAAATCAGTATTATCAGCAAGCTTTTGAAGGAGAATTGATTATGCGATTTGACGATACGAATCCAGCAAAAGAGAATGCTCATTTTGAACAGGTTCCTGATGCTATTTGGTGATTTTGATATATGTATCACAAAAATAATTTAATTTATAATTTAAACTTTCTCTGCTTTAAAATTCACAAGGTTTTTTCTCATTATTTACAGATTATAAGACTTTCATTAGAAGACAAATCATTAAAAAATTGTAATTATACATAAAATGAAAATACAGTATATTTGATGACATGAATCACATGACTAAATACTGCAGTACGAGAGAAAATTTCAAACTTTGTTTTAGGTAATTTTGGAAGATTTGGAAATGTTAGAAGTGAAGCCAGACAGATGGACGCATACATCTGACCATTTTGACTTGATATTAGAAATGTGCGAACGTTTGTTGCAAGAAGGGAAAGCATATGTTGACGATACGGATGCCGAATTGATGAGAAAAGAACGCGAAGAACGCAAAGAAAGCCGATGCCGTAATAATAGTAAGCTCGTTTGTTTAATAATTTAATAAATTAACGAAATCATTATTTTTATCATTCTTTTATGTTTAATCATAAGTAGTTTTCACTTTAAAAAAGAGGATTTTATGTATATTAGTGTCAGAATATCATACTTCAAGTTCTTTAGTTCAAATAGGTTATATATGTATATTTCTTTACCATTAAATTTATCTAATAAAAAATGGGGTAATGCACCAGTAGTTGTACTATTTGTTGTTTTACAGTGCAGTATTTTCCTTTTCATGTTTCAGAATTCATGGAAATAGAAATAACTATTAAATGATGGAATGAACTTATGTTTTTTCATTTAAATTTTGAAGCTCCCGAACAAAATTTGGCATTATGGGAAGAAATGAAACGAGCAACCTCAAAAGGACAGAAATGTTGTGTTCGAATCAAAATTGACATGCAAAGCAATAATGGTGCAATGCGCGATCCAACAATTTATCGCTGTAAAGCAGAAACTCATGTTCGAACTGGAAATAAATATAAGTTAGTTTTTGCAATTATTATTGTCAAGTAGCATTCTAAATCTTAAAATATAGCTGCGCATTTTTGTGGAAAGACTTTTTTCAATACCGTTAGTGTAAATAAAGGTCAGGAAAGTAGAGCTTTTTAAGTTTTTTCCTTTTTTTCTTTTTGTTGTTATTAGAAATTTGTCTAAAAAATTTGTCTTTTTTATATTTGCAGGGTTTATCCAACATACGACTTTGCTTGTCCTATAGTGGACAGCATTGAAGGTGTTACACATGCACTTCGTACAACAGAGTATACAGATCGTGATGATCAGTACTATTTTATTTGTGATGTACTAGGATTGAGAAAACCATATATTTGGTCCTATGCTCGACTAAATATGACAAATACTGTGATGAGTAAGCGAAAACTTACGTGGCTTGTCGATGAACATCATGTGGAAGGATGGTAAGGATGGTATTATTGCAGCCTATTCTCAGACAAAAATTTTTAAATTTTGACATTTTTTTTAATTTTTATAAAAATTTGCTGAAACTATTTGGCTATTTTGTAATGATATTAGATACTAACTTTTTCATCCTATAAAGCTGATAGGTTCAATCATGTTTGAGCGAATAACTTGAAATTCTAAAGCTATTCTTCCATAGTCTCCATCACTGGTAACAGCCTGAATATTTTAGTATCACTTACAGAATTTGCTCCACCTTTCTTTTTTCTCTTCACATAAATTTATTCACTATTTCTCTCTCTCCTTTATTTTAATTTTTCCATCATGCTTATAATTTTTTTTTTTTTTTTTTACTCTTTTTAGAGGTTATTTTCATAGAAATCAAAGTATCTATTGTTACAGCGAATGAAATTATGAGAACCTAAAGCATAATTTGTTCACATAATGATAATTTTCTTAAAGGGATGATCCACGATTGCCAACTGTACGAGGTGTTATGCGACGCGGATTAACGGTTGAAGGTTTAAAACAGTTTATTGTTGCTCAAGGTGGTAGTCGTGCCATTGTCATGATGGAATGGGATAAAATTTGGTCTTTTAATAAAAAAGTTTGTTTATCTCGAAATTTTGTGTTTTTTCACATGAACATTTAATAAGTTATGCATTTGAATATTGTTTTTAATTTAAAAATTTGTTATAGTAGTAGTAATTTTTCCACATGAAAGAATAGAAATTCGTGTAGTTAAACTTTTCCCTTGTTTAAAAAATAAAAGGTCTAATTTTCTTCATTGATTTGTAGGTAATTGATCCGGTTGCTCCTCGTTATACCGCTCTTGCTTGTCCAGAAAATCTTGTTCAAGTAGTAGTTACGGATAATTTGGCTGAAGAATCGAAGAAGGTTTCATTACATCCAAAGGTTACGTTATTAAATATCAAATGTTTCGATTTAAAGGTTTCTGTCTTCCTCCTTTCATTCACTATTGTGGAGATAGTTATGGCATTCATGAGGGATCAAATAGTAGTTTCTCATAACGTATCACTGATTTTTTTTTTTTTTGTTTATTTCAGAATCATGAAGTTGGAACAAAAACTGTTTGGTACAGCAAAAAAGTGTTGGTGGAAGAAGCTGATGCACGGGAAATGAAAATTGGTGAATGCGTGACATTTATCAATTGGGGAAATATAAAGATTTGTGACATATTAAAAGATGGTGATAGAATAACAGAAATCAGAGCGAAATTAGATTTAGATAACAAGGTTTGTTGCAGTTTATCTTGTTTTCTGCTTTCTAAACAATCGAGTACGTAATTAGTTGATGAATTGAATTTAATGATTGATAGCTGATTGCCATTTTTTGAGTGTTGCTCTTTCATTAGTAAGATATCTAATTGAATTGATGAAATTTCCACCACTTTTCGATGAAGAACCATAATTCCAAATATTTGTTCTTTCTGCTGATTAACTTTTTAACTAACCTGAAGTGCAGTTCTGATTATATCATCTTTTTTTTTTTTTTGGTAACACAACAAATTTAATATAATTATGTAAATATTGAATAACAATTCAGGATTACAAGAAGACATTAAAAGTAACATGGATTGCTGATACGAAAATGGGACCACAAATTCCAGTAAAAGTCATTGAGTATTCTCATATTATCAGTAAGCCCATTATTGGGAAAGATGAAAATTGGAAACAGTTCGTTAATTATGATTCTGTGGTACGTTATATTTCAATTTAGAAATATTTCATTTCGCATTAATGTTGTTCATTAGTACTTAATAAATGAATAGCTCAGTTCATACGTTGTGCTTATGCATATCTTTTTTTGGATCTTTTTTTTTTTTTGGACAGCAATGTAAAAGGAAAATACATGTGTAACTTTTATTATAATTCCAATAAGCTAAGATTCAAATATATTTTTTATACTTTCCAAACTTCAAATTATTATAAGAGCCAATAAAGTATGTCTGAATATTAACGTCAAGATATGACTTGCAGGAATATGTCGACTTCATCGGTGAACCCGCAATGAAAAAAATACGTAAAGGGGATATTATTCAGTTGCAACGTAAAGGATACTATATATGTGATTTGGAATATACGTCAAAAAGCGAATATTCTGGTTTTGAAATGCCTGTTGTTTTGATTCTCATACCAGATGGCAGCAATAAACCTATTAAACAAACTCAGACGGTAAAAGAAATGCCTTTAAAATAGAAAAACGTTTAGAAAATAAAAGAAGCAAAAATGAAATTTGTTTCTTGCTCTGAATTTATTTGTTGAGCCGAATTATGATTTTTGACTATCAGGGCGAACATTATGGATTGATTTGAGCTGATCTGAGCTAATGTTTGATACTAGCTGGTATTATTTTTATATATTATTTCAGGCTTCTGCCGTAGAACTGGGAAGAACAAACGGTGGCATTCAGATAAATGGAAATGCATCAACAAGTTAGTTTTACTCTTATCACTTTTCTACTTTTAAAGTTATTTTATTTAATGGATTCAAAAAAGGAAGTGCGAAAGATGTATATAGGTATTCAAGAATATTTATGAATTTAAATAAATTTTTTTGCTGTGTAATTATATATCTTTAACGTTAATTACCCGTCTTCTTTTGTGTTCTGTTTTCTTCGATTTAAAAGTTTTTCAAACATTTGAATTTTTTCCAGGTGAAATGAACATACTCAAACTTAGTGAACAAATAAAAGAGCAAGGTGATTTGGTCAGATCTCTGAAAGCAGCAGATCCAAAGGGTGTGAAAACTAAAGAAGCCATCGCTACTCTTTTGAGCCTAAAAAAGACTTTTCAAGAATTTTGTGTAAAAGAAAACACCAACAAACTATCCTTATCAGATGATGCTAGCGATTTGTATCAGAGCATTGAGAAGCAAGGAAATCTTGTTCGATCTTTGAAAGCTAGTGATCCTAAAAGTGATGATACTAAAGCTGCTATTTCAAAGCTACTGGATCTTAAAAAACACTACAAGGATAGAACTGGTTCAGAATATAAGCCAGGGTCAACAATTACATCGCAAAAGCAAGCAGATGTGACGACGCGAAATCTAGAAGGACTGTACAAACAGATCGAAGAACAAGGTGTTGTGAGAACGAATTAACCTTTTCATGCCTTTATTTTTTCTTGGTTCTACAAGATTTTATATAAAAATTTGATAATGTAAAAAAAAGGTTATATAGGTGACATTCCCTCATTAAGCAATCCTACTGCTAAATTGCTAAATTTCTTGCGATTTCTTTCAAAAATTTCACAATCTTGGAAAATTTTTTACAAGCGCTATGTTTTCCTTAGCTTATCACAAATCATAGTAAATTCTTTCTTCAAAATGTGTATGAAGAATTAATCATCTTTGTAAAGCCCAGCAGATTTTTAACGTTGGTGCAATGCTTTTTTAGCAACTGAAATTGACTTTCAACCATTTAAGCCAAGTTTACTTAAGCTAACATTTTTTATTTACATATTAGTCTTTCTTATTTATATGTTAGTCTGTTTGGCATTACTTACTTTTGTCGGTAATTGCTAATTGTTACTTCTTTTTCTTTAGAAATTGTCAAATCTGAAGTTTGATTACAGGTAATATAGTTCGTGCACTGAAAGCTGCTAATCCAAAAAGTGAAGAAGCAAAAGCAGCTATAGCAGAGCTTTTGAATTTAAAGCAAAACTATAAGGAAATATCAGGGTTCGAATATAAACCGAAGAATATACTTGTTATGCCATCCGATAATAAACTCAGGAGTGATAGCGCAAAATGCAAGGAAGCATTTGCAAAAAAAATTGCTGAACAAGGCGATTTGGTGAGATCACTGAAAGCAAAAGATGCAAAATCAGTGCGTTTCATTTCTTCATTGTTTTTTTCATAGAGATTTTAGGGAATTCTTATTAACTTGTTAAATGAAAATTTTTTTCAAGATATGCAAAGCTAAGAGAAGATATATTCAGAATTCCGTTTTTCATTTGATTTTTGCTGCAAGTTCTAAGGCTATAAAGTAAATGTGCTCTACCGTTCGTAGTATAAAAAAATTTTCTTCATTCCAAAATATTATTCTTTTTTTTAATGTTTAATTGGAGAAAGAATTTTAAGACTTTGAATTTTTTATTATAGCAGGAAGCGAAAGATGCGATAGCGGAATTATTGAAGTTAAAGAAGCAATACAAGGATGAATTTGGTGAAGACTATACCGCCAATGCTACTAATACCAATTCTTCCACTGCTAAGGTATAACTATAGAATTCCTTAATGGAAATTTTTAAGATTGGAACAAACAATTGTTGTGTTTTCTTTTTTTGATTCTTCGTAAAAGAAATTTATTGTTTTTGAATTTATTGGCTTTAAATATCTGTTATATATGTTAAAAATAATCCTTGTTCAATCTACGAATTGACTGATATTGATGTATTTAGCTTTTTTGATCGTAAATGATAAACTTATCCAATTTCAAAGTGTTTCTACAATTTTTTCCACTTTGTTAGTAGAGTTGTAAGGATATGACGCTTTTACGATGTTTAATAAATATTCGATGCTACCTGGAACATTCTTACTCTGATCTTATTTGTCGTTCATGTCATTAAGTTAATTAGTTCAGTTTGTTAAGTTATAAAACGTAAAATTTGCTCAGATTTTGAAATCTCCAAGTCGTTTTTATATATTAAATGCTTTAGAATAAACTTTCTGTGTTTTTGTCTATCCAACACTCACATTATCTACCAAAAAAAGATTACTGGTAACTATTTTCGTCCATACAACAACAAGAAACATCATGGCAATTTTTTCTAATATTCTTTATATTAACTAATTTATATTTTTTCTAATATTTTTTATATTAACTAATTTATATTAACTTTCAATGATTTCTGCTTCGTTAATTAACTTTAAAAAATTTGCTAATTCTATTAGTGGAGATTTTCTTCAGAATGAAATATCTGTCTTTTCGCATCATAGAATTATTTCTAGTGCATTATTTTAATGTACTCAAAGTTCCCAAGAATAAGTAAGATCATTGTTTTCAATGAATAAATGTTTATAAATATATACAATGTCTATCATCCATAGGTTCTTTTTTTTTGGTTTTTTTTTATAGAACATATAATTTTCTTGCTCTCTATTCAGAAAGTTGTGACAGTTACGAATGAAGAAAGACAAAAAAGTGATGGTAAAAAAGATAAGAAGGAAGAAGTTAAGTCTAAAACAACATTGGCGTCGATGGAGATGGTGAAACAGACAAAGTTAGGCCTGGATGTTAAGAAGGAAGAGAATTTAGCAGAATGGTATTCGCAGGTTTCTTTTTTCCTTTTTGACAGAAAATTCTTTTAAAATAAAATAGAAGATGTGCTATTTATGATAAAAGTCAGGAGTTTGACTAAAATTCAAATAGTGTCAAAGTGTGAATTTTACAAATTTCTGTCTGAGAAAATTGCGTTTTTCTATGTTTTCTTTCTGATTGAGAGAAATTACTTTAAAATAAAGTTAACAATATTTTCTAATCACAAAAATTGTCCAGAAAATCCATCAGTAGCAAATTGAAGCTATACTTATTTATTTCATTTATGCAATATGTAATATTGACAATGGTATTGTTTTCTGGAATTTAGTGACAGTGAACGTTTTGCTTCGTTAAACTGTAATTTAATATATATCTTACACTTTTTTTCTAGAAATGCCAAAAGAGAAAAATGAAGGAAAAAATGGAACGAGATTTAACACTTCAAACTCTATACATTTCTTCAAGTAGTGCTAGTCAGTAATTGGTAATGCTGTACTGTATTCAGTTATTTAGTTGTGAATATTTAGATTATAATAAAAGCGGATATGATCGAATATTACGATGTATCAGGTTGCTATATATTGCGTCCATGGTCATTTGCAATTTGGGAAATAGTGAAAAAATGGTTTGACACAGAAATTAAGAAATGTGGCGTACGCAATTGTTATTTTCCAATATTCGTTTCACAAAATGGTTTGCAAAGAGAAAAGGAACATATTGATGATTTTGCTCCAGAGGTTTGTCACAATTTAAAATTTCCGATTTGAGAATTATTATGATACGAAAATAGTAACAATTAAATAGTGTACTACAGGAATATTTATGAATTTTGAATGAATTAAGTTAATTCAAAAATTTAAAACTAATAATTTTGCTAATAATAATCTGATCTAATATGAGTTGAAAGTTGCTTAAGCAGTTCTACTAATATCTATTATTAATATTTGTGCTGAAACATTACAGGTTGCTTGGGTAACGCGAGCTGGAAATTCTGAATTGAGTGAACCGATTGCGATACGTCCTACTAGTGAAACGGTAATGTATCCAAGTTATGCGAAATGGATTCAGTCCTATCGTGATTTGCCTATTCGTTTGAATCAGTGGTGCAATGTTGTGGTAAGCTTTTGCTATGATTTCCATTCACCCACTGAAATTTCTTTTTCATTTCTGGCTGGAATTGACGACGACATTAGGCATTAATATATTTTAGCTAATTTATCTTCGAAATGACTTTTATTGAAAATTGAAATTTGATGTAGTATTCATAGTAATTAAAGATTAGGATTTTTGCTAAAGTTAGAATGCTGTCAAATTTTGAATTTTAGTATTTCTATTTAAGAAATTTTGTTTGTTCATTTTAGCGCTGGGAATTCAAGCATCCGACACCATTTTTACGAACACGTGAATTTTTATGGCAAGAAGGACATACGGCTTTTCAAACAAAACAAGAAGCTGAAGAAGAAGTTTTTGCAATCCTGGATTTATATGCAAAAGTTTATACGGATCTGTTTGCTATACCAGTAATTAAAGGTCGAAAATCAGAAAAAGAAAAATTTGCTGGTGGTGAATTTACAACTACCGTTGAAGCATATGTCCCAGTTAATGGACGTGGTATTCAGGTTTGTATAACGTTTGTTTAAATGAATTTTTGAAAATTGCAAATTTATGAAATGATTTGTAAAGTAATTACACTTATTAAGTGACATATTTTTAATTTTGGCTTAATGTCTTGTGATTCCTGATTTACTACAATCCTACAAATCTCTATGCCTTCCCACTATTGTCTTGAATATTAATGAGTATGATAATGTTTCCTAAATTAGAAAATCGTTGATTTCAAATGGAATGAATTTTTAAGTAAATTTGTCATTAAATTTAAAAACTGGCCCTGGATTAAAGGGTGCTACATCTCATCATCTCGGTCAGAATTTCTCCAAAATGTTTGACATTTCGTTCGAGGATCCGGAAACTGGTAAAAAAACATTTGCATGGCAAAATAGTTGGGGCATGACGACAAGAACAATTGGTGCAATGATTATGATTCATGGTGATAATGATGGCCTAGTACTACCTCCAAGAGTTGCACCTATTCAGGTCTCTATTCTTAGTTTTTTTAGTTTAATGTTTGTTTTGTTAATAACATTTAGAGATTTTACATCATATCAAGGAAATTATTTTATCGAATTTATCAAAAAAAAAAAAAAAAGGGCAAAATATATGTAAAACTTTTCAAATACAGAGCATAATGATAGAATTTCCAAGATTTTTTAATTTTAACTACCATATTGTTGGTTGAATAGTTAAAATTAAATATAGTAACCCTATTACTTTCATTTGAAATATATAAATGCATTTTAAAATGACAAATATGTTAAAATTTGTTACTAAAGTGAATGAAGTCATGCAAAATGAGAAATGCAATTTTAGGTGATTATCATACCGGTTGGCATCGCATCACAGATGGATAACAAAATAAAGCAGGAAATAATTACAAAAATAGAAGAAATCATAAAGACTCTCGAAAACTCCAAAATTCGAGTCGACATTGATTTGCGTGATAATTATTCTCCTGGATGGAAGTTTAATCATTGGGAGTTAAAAGGCGTTCCGATTAGGCTTGAACTTGGACCGAAAGATATTGAAAAATCTCAGGTACTACCACATGATAATAAGCAATGTAATTGAATTTGATTAAGTCATTCATTTATAATTTAAACCTAAATTTTGAAAAATGAATTGTTGATTCTATTCCTGTTTGATTAAAGAAGCACCAGTTTTTTATCATGAGTACTTCTTTGAGAAATTAATTTAGTTGTTGTTTGGCTAATAATTTTATTTCCAAATAGCTTGGCAAGATATTTTCTTAAACTAGTTATTTGCTTCGAGCTATTTAATACCTACAAAAATTTTACTTCTTTTTCCTTATTTTTTTATTAAATATCTAAATATATGTTTGCAGGTCACATGTGTCACTCGTTATAACAAACATAAATCAGTCATTCCGATCGATAATTTATTAGCAAAATGTTCTGAATTACTAGATGAGATACATACTAATATGTATATAAAGTAAGTTCTTAAATAAAAATGAGCATTCCCAAAAATGTATGCACATTTTTAGCTGCATTCAGTCTTCAATTTGAATTATTTGTTCCATAAGCTATATTGATTATTAATGAAGATAAAGACTATATTTTGATAGTAAGGCAAAATAATGTTAAACATTATTTTGCCTAACTTCTTTATATTCTAACATTACAAGATTTATTTTATTTTTTTTTTTTTCTTCAGTGGTAGTAAAATCTTGAACAAAGTAAAAGTAAACTTCCTGTAAGTGGTATTAATTCTTTATGATTTTTTATTCAATATGTTATTTTCTAAAATTTTTCAGCACGAAAAGGATACGTGATGAGCGTCAGAAAATTACAAAACATTGGTCCGAATTCAAAGAACTGCTAGACCAGAAATGTTTAATTTTGGCTGCATTCTGTGGTTTCTCACAATGTGAAGATAACATCAAAAAAGATAGTTCCAGTGATGAATGTGGTCAAACAGGAGCACCACTAATGGGCGCTAAAACATTGTGCATACCACTGGAACAGGTTTGTATTACCTTGAATTATGCATGTTTGATCAAATGACTGGTGAAACTTTACATTTTGAAAAAAAAAAAAATTTAAGTAGATAAATGAGAGGTGTCTTCTTTATAACCTTATAAGTAGAATATTTGCCTAATTAACTTCTAATGATGATATAATTTGCAAACAAGAGATAAATCATTGTTTACTTGAATGCTAAACAGTATTCTGTTTTTTCAGCCTTCGGAACAATTACCAGTACATTGTATACATCCAAAATGCAAGGAACAGCCTAAATTTTATGCACTTTTTGGCCGCAGCTATTAAAAAAAGTCGACTCAGCTACACTTTTTTCGCACTTTAAAAAGAATTAAAAGGAAAAGAAAAACCGAATTGCCTTTAACTTACTGCGATATAACATTTACATAATGAGAGAGGAAATATTTGTACCTTTATTGCTTCGCCAACCGGTGTGACACCATATACAGATGATTTGGATGTTACTGCTTAATTAGTACCAACAAAACAACCATGTGATTCGCTCCTGTTCTTCACCTTACGCAAATTCTTGAACTGCACTTTTTAGTATTGATATCCTAATATTGTTACATTGAAATGACATTTGTTTGCTAATTCTTTTTCTTTTTTTGTCTCTAAGTCCTTCTGTTATTTTCTTTTCCTATTTGTTACTATTTAGTTCACTACAAGCAGGAGCATCAAAGCAATTTGATCCCTTATTATATAATGTGCTGATTGAAATTTCTGCAGATTTATTTTGAATGTAGAAATAATTTTAAAATAATAAGGACTTTATATAAAATAGGATTTAAAGTATTGCCATACTTCATTACTTACCTTATGTTGGCATTTATCCTATGACATGTTTTGTTGACTACTGTTTATTGCCTGTTGCAAAAAAAAAAGAATGTAAAAGTAACAAAAGAAACTTCAAAAGAGCATATCATTTAATGGATAAGGAACTAACTCATAAAACAAATTCAGTGAATTAAACTGAGTGTAGAGAAAGAGGAATGAATGAATTAACGCCAGAATGCAATATTTAAATATTTGAATGATAAGCCCACATTACAAAATCACTGAAGTCGAATTAGTTGTTGTCGAAATGTCTTTCTTTTAAGATGAAGAAAGTAATTAAATGAAAAATAATTGTTTAAAAATTAAGAAGCACTTTTCGAAACTTTTTAAAGTCTTAAAATCATTTAATTTGGTGGATGAATGAATTGATGTACAGCATCAACAATACATTTCGCTGAAATTCCGTATTTTTCAAGCAGTGCGTCCGGTGGTCCAGAATGTGGAACATCAAGAACGAATAATGAACGAACGCGTATATCCTTCTGATCGGAAACAGCTTGGCATACGGCCTCACCAATGCCTTAAATAAAAAGAAATTTTTCGATATTTTTAACAAAATCGTATATCAAAAACTTTCTTTAGAAGTCCGGAATTCAATACCGCGGTTCAATACCGTCATCAGATATTGCAGTAGATGATGCAGTTTTACAAATTCTACAATCGTAACAGCTGAGAAAACAAGGATGGAAAATTCCCTTCTATCATAAAAGAAATTACATAATGACCTTAATTTAATATTCGAATAGTGGAGAGTAATACCTCCGGCTTGATAATGATCCTCCACTGTAATTATACGATTTTCTGCTCTTCTGGCCGATTTTACAATCAAATCTTTATCAAGCGGTTTAATTGTGAACGGATCCATCACAATTACTTCTACACTCTCCGACTGCAATTTATCTGCTGCTTTTTTTGCTTCATAAAGTGTAATACCTGCACCGATTATCAGTACTTTTGGTTTCGTTGCATCATGAACAATCTGAAATGAGAACAAACTGCATACTAATTACTGTTTAGCAAAAAAACAGAGAAACAAATCAATTAAATGCATCAAAAATGAGATGTCTAAAAGTTAATTTATATAATTAGAAAAGACAGCAATAATCATTCACTTTTCCTTTTCCAATTTCGAATTTCTCATCATTGCCATAGATAACTGGACATGCAGGGCGTCCAGTACGTATAAATGCAATACCACGAGTATTGGCAGCCAATTCAGTTGCCCGTTCTGCTGCTACTGCATCAGTTGGATAGAATACGATAGATCCAGGTATAGTTCTAAATTTATTAATATAATAGTTAAAATTTTATGAAAATATAAGCGAAGAATTTAGCTATTCAAAATGAACATACCGAAACAATGCGATATCTTCTAAACCCATTTGTGACGGACCATCTTCCCCAATAGAAACACCAACATGCGAACCAACACATTTTATGTTTGCAAATGATACCGCAGCCATACGAAGCTGATCAGCAGCACGTGTGAAGAATGCAGCGAATGTGCTATATTTTAAGAAACTTACAAAATCATCAATAATTGAAAATCTATGAGCACACCATGATCACAAACAACAGATTTAATAATATTAAAAATTAAGATACTAATTCAAATATCATTTGAAATTAAAACATAAACGAGGAATAAATTTCCATTAGTTTATTGATATCTAATTTTCATCAGTGGAGACCGCTGTATATTGCAAATTCCACACATTAATAAAATTATTCGGCTTTGAATGCAATGCATTTAATGCTTCGGAAATTTTTTCCTCGAAACTGCCCACTTCACAATTTTGCTTTTTTCCTTATTTTAAAAGAAAATTATTTTATATTACTTTCAACTACTAAACTGCATGCAATACTACCAATAAAACTAGACTACAAATGCAATTCTACTAAACATATATTACATGCACTCTTCCATACCAGTAAAAAATTAACTTTTGATAATAGCAAAAATAAATCCCCTTCAAAATCAAAAACAGAAAGAATTAAATTAGTTTTATGTGACAAAAAGTTGGGAAATAAAAAATAAATCGGCATCAATTTTAAAAAGATTTTCTAGATGCATAATTTCAATATCGCCTTGTTAATTATACAAAATTAACACTTATATATAATAATATAAGACTGCACACCGTAAACTTACAATAATGCCTTCAAACAAAGGCTACATGATTGGTTGCGTATACATGTGTATATAACACGCTACAATAATATTGAAATTGAGAAATCTGAGAATAAGTAATGATGACTTTTATATTCTGATACTATAGTAAAATAGATAAAAAGCTTTGGTAATGAATATAACTCCCGAATATTCAATTAATTTTTTTAAACGGTTAAATAATCGAGATGTGGACATTGAAAGCATAACTATGGAAAGAATTAGAAGGTATGCTGATGTATTGTTGAAAAGTGTATTTGATCATATATTGAATAATGATGGTAATATTAGTCCATGTTTTTAAATTGAACTTTAACTTTAAATGCAATAAGTTTGTTCCTCTTGAGTTTAAAAAATATGGAAGCTGAAATCAACTAAATCTTGTCTTAATTAAAAGTTATCAATAAAATAAACCTTGCAAATGGAATAGCACGATCACGACACTGCAAACCAACAGCGACTCCAACAAGATTTTGTTCCGCAATAAAACATTCCACGAATTGTCCTGGATGTTTCTTAAGCAAATTCTCACTAAATGTTGAATTTTTGGTATCACCATCTAATCCAATTATTCGTGGATAGGCATCACCCAATTTTGCTAATGCTATACCATAAGCCTGGCGAGTTGCCACCTGAAATAGCCATCCATACTGATGAAAAATTAAAATAAATAAAGGAGTCTTTTGACACTAAGAAGGTTGGAATCACATATATTTCTCCCAAATAATTGTATGATTATAGACTTAGTTTTGATAGATGTAGGTTGCATTCTTTTAGCAAGCAGAACTTCAACATCTGCCTAAATACAACCCGTACCTTGATCTGCTGCATTATTGGTCATCATCTTTTCTAGACGAATCAAAATTAATTTTAATATATCTGCTAAAAACATATACATTTCTAAAGGAATATAAAGAATACCTTATCACCAACTGTGTATTCTGGTGATGCCATTTTAATATGACCAATTGGTAGCTGAACATTTGGAGCATCATTTACTGGAAGATTTATTTGAAGTGTTCCGGCAATATCTGCTTTGTTCATAAGACGTTGTTCAATTGCCTCAATAGTACTTTCAGGCACTGGTTTTCCGTGCCAGTTATCCTAAAATAAAATCAAATAAATTACAAAATGAAATTAATATCAAATGTAAGATAAGCTGGAAGTTGACAATGCTTGACGAGATATTAAAGCAAATGGTTGCGTCAAAACTGTTTAAAATGGCGAGTAACACAGCTATAAGTCTTCTTTTTTTTTTTTCTTTTTATTTACATATTCTTATCGTATCAACTTCGATAATTCATTTAATATATATCTTGTAATAAACTTGAAAAAGTTAGTTCCGAGTGATTGTATTACGCTTGTACCTGGCCACCCAATCGTGATACAACACAGCAACATAAGTTCGTATCCCGTCAAACAGCCAACAATTATGATCTAGCAGAGAATCTAGGATATTCCCGGCAATTTATTCCTCCGGTCATAGCTGGTGCTCTGCTGTACAATATTTTAGTTTCGAACGACATCTACAAGGTCCCGAACCTCCTTTCGAGGAGTGATACTAATGGTCAAACTTGTCTCTACACTAGGACACCACTACTAATGTGTTTAGCATTAAAGTGGCCTAAAGTAGTAGTTATTAAATTTGACAAAGCACGAATAACTATTGATTTCAAACTGGCGAACTAACTGGAACTGAATCCCTATAATTATTGCAGTAGCACAAACTGTTCAGTCATCAAAAGATTACATTTTAAACATACGAAAACTTACTTCATCTTCAATTCCAATGATACCTTTTCCTTTGAGCGTTTTTGCAATGATGGCTGTTGGTCTATCTTTTGTTTGACTAAATAAATCGAAAAATATTACAATGAACTTCATTTCAACTAAGTTTAATCCCAAATAGCAAGTAACTGTTTTAAACCCTCCACAATATTACTGCCAGAGTACAGACTTTAGCTTTGGCTTGTATTAACAGGATTCATCGCCTTTTGAAACTAGTAAAAAATTTTGAAATGTCTGATCAAGTGCTGATCTTATCTCTTACCGTTACACTGAAGTGAAATATCTGAAATTGTAAATTGCAGTATTAAAGTAAAAATTATACAAAATACATGTGAAAATCTTCTGCATATTTTTTTTTTTTCTAAATAAATCCACAACCGTGCAATGTTATACGCATTTAGTAGCTCTACGACATTACAGCCATTAACAACAATTGTATGACATCCAAATGACTCAAAGCGTTTTGCCATAGCATCAGCATCATGTCCTAGCATCGTCTGTTGCGTTTGTCCTAGACGATTCATGTCTACGATTGCAACCAAATTGTCCAATTTGTAGTATGATGCAAATGCTGGAATATTAAATATTCAAGTAAATGATTAATTTATTTTGTAATTTCTGATTGGCAACTTTAACGCTATTAAATAGCACACGACATATCGATTTTTCATCTAAATATCAAAAATCGTTACAATTAAAGAACAAAACATACCTGCAGCTTCCCACACCGAACCTTCAGCGCATTCACCATCACCCAGTAGACAATATACACGATAACTTGCCTAAATTTAAAGAACTTTTTCAAGAAACAAATTTTGGTGAATAGGCAATAATCTGACTGATACTCTGTAAAAACAGTTTATATGGTTAAATAAACAAGAAGCATGTAAATCTGTGAAAATGTCAAATGCCACCCTTCGATGTCTAGAAACCATAGATCTGTTATCTACTAAGCTAGCCAGATGATAAAAATTTCATAATCTAAGCATATAAATGTGGTTCAAGAAGTATACTTTATCAATATATTTTCCAGCATAAGCCATTCCTGCAGCACATGAGAGGCCTTGTCCGAGAGAGCCAGTAGCAACATCGATAAAGTCTAGTCGTGGCGTTGGATGACCTTCTAGATCACAAGTAACCTTCCGTATATTCATCATATCAGTTGTTGATATATGTCCCGCTTGATGCCACGCAGCATACAGTACCGGGCATGCATGACCCTTAAATAAAAGAAATACTATTGCAATTTTTATGATTTGAAATCAAATACTTACTGTTTATTTCCTACAATATCATAAAAAACTACTCGAAAAAAAAAAAAAAAAAAAAAACCTTTGATAAAACGAAACGATCAGAAGATGGATTTTTTGGAAATGTTTTGTCAAACTTCATTTCGTTAAAGAAAAGAGTTGCAATAATCTCTGCAGCTGAGCACGAACTTGTGGGATGACCTGATTTAGCTGCACAAGTCATTTTGATCGAATCAATACGCAGATGATTTGCTACATCATCCAACTGTTGAATATCTACTTTTCCCATTGTTGAATTTAGTAAGCGTTATTGAACTTCCTGAAATCTAGACATTTCTGTAAAACTAATGCAATTGCCCAATGCTTTTTCTACAAACAAACCATATGAAAACGTTTCTTTCTTAAAATTAGATCTCCTGCATTAAAATAATTTCAACCTATTAATCGAGTAAGAGGTTTAATCCAACTATATTCCTTCTTTTTCACTTTCAAACAAAAAGACAACAAAAACCACCGTACATGAATTGGAAATAATTAAAGTTCAAAGATCATCCCATAGTATCATCATCATATGTCGAAACGTAGTTGAAGACCTATCAGACAATCAATATGTTTCAAAATGAATATGTCATACCTCAGAACTCCATCATATGTTACAGTGTACTTTAATCTTTTTTTCCACTTTTTTTTTCTACCCGATAAGCAGAATACTAAGAGTCCTTGAGAAAAGGCTATCGTTAATGCTATAACAGTAATCAACTAACCCTAATTGAATTTTTAAAAACTTAAAATAGCATGTAAACAGAATAATGCACAGTGCAGGAACAAGTCTGAAAAATGACTGGGTGGAAACATTTTAAACACACGGATACCACACGCAAATAACACCAAAACAAGAAAATGCACCGTTAACAATTAAAGACATATGAAAGGTCATATTTCATCACATGAAAAGTCTAAATTCACTGTCAACTAAATGATTACATAGCTGTCCCTAATTTTATTAAATGACAATGGTATTTCAAATTTTATTCATTTCCTATTTTTATTTTAATCTAATACTTTCAAGTTATAAGTTACATCAAAATTTTTTAAAATCAAATTCAAGTACACAAATAGTTCGCAACAAACATTTCTAATTTTTTATATAATATCTTCAAAATTTTTCAATTTATGACTAGATGAAAAAATTTATAACCAAGAAGCTATAAAAAACTACCGCCATTGTCTAAAGTTATTCTATTTTCATAAGTGAGATTTAGTTATAGTCCGTAAAACCTTCCAATAATCGAATCGTATTAAATAAAGGCATAATTTAATCAAAATTCAGCAAAAAAAAAAAAAAAAAAGAAAGAAAGAAAGAGAAAACAAAGCATACATGAACAAAAATAGAACATTAGCGGTGCAATGTCGAATTTTGTTAAACTGCTATGTGACAAAACTTTTTATCATTTTAAAGATTTAAAGAAAAATATTCACATCATTTTACAAATTGTCAATTATTATGACATACATGCAGCATGAAGTGCATTTCTTTAAAAAATTTGAAGTCTATTTGAAGTGCATTTTTTAAAGAAAAAAAAAAGGAAAGAAAAAAAAAAACTTTAAAAAAAAAAAAAAGAAAGAAAAAACATAATCCAGATTATTGGAATATTTTTTTTACAAGAAAAAATATCCCAGAAATCGGTCACTTCAGAAATCAGCTAGCTACAAAAACTTGAAAATTTTTTCAAAAATCGCAAGAAATATACGAACTAACTACAAAATAAAAACTGAAAGACGGAATTATAAAATGAAGTGATAAAAGTGATAAAATGGAGTACCTACAGCAAATTGATAAGCTATCAGTCGGAAGAAAAAACACAGTGGTAAATAGTATGATCACATTATTATCAGTGCTGCAACTTTAAAAGTTTTCTTCTAAAGTATCGAATTATCCGACACTTTCTTTTCAACGATGTCGCAATGAAGATTGTATTCCTGATCGATGCCAATGTAAGAATCGGACATGATAAAAGTTGTAAAAATATGTCGACCTCTGGAAAGCAGAAAGCAAGTAACAATTCAATAAACATAAGTTAAAATCAATCCATGCATAAGCTTTTTTCTAGCTGACTTAAAATGTCGTATCACTCGTTGATAAGTTTCTCATAGTTGTCTTTCAATATCCATAGTACACATTACAAATTACTCAGAATAAATCACAGGATTTTACATCAAAGGATATGCTAAATAATATGTTGCTGTTTTAAAACATTAACATTTCATTTGTTATGTGGAAATAATTAAAAAATTTGTAATAGATAATTGTCAGCTATCTGGAAAATTGAAGTCGTTTTAGTACTCGTATCTCTCAATTTCTTTGAAATGTGAAATTTTCAAAAATTTTGCACTTCTTTCAATCCATAAAATACGAAAACTTACAATCGTTTGGGCATCCTAAACGGAATACTGAGTTGCTTAGAACCAGTAATCGATAATTTTTTACAGCACAGTAATTCGCCTGTATCTTTCTCACCGATGATCACAATCCATCCAGCAGTTTTTTCTTTATGGAAACGTGGACAAAAGGCGTTCGTTTCAAACTAAAACATGGCTGTTTTATTCGGCTAGTTAATTTTTCTGATTGAAATAGAAACTTATAATCGAAAACAAAAATACGCAAGAAAACGTATTCGTATAAATTTTTATATCTGATTAAAATTATGAACATACTTTATATGGGCCGATTAATTCGACAGTGAATAACATACGGTATAACATATCTGATTCAGCAGTTATGTACTTTGGCCATCGTTCATCTTGCAAATAATCGATTTCGAAAACTTGATTTGTATCACATAATACACATTTCCTTGGCTGTAATATTGGCCATTTTAAAAGAGTGTCAACAGCCTGAAATTATAATATCACTACGACAAATTCAGTACAGTTAGCAAATGTGATGAATAGCATAGATTTAGCAGTGGAAGAAAAGCATGTAGTTATAACGAATGACAGAAAAAAGGGTGAGCTGAAAAGATAGCGCAGATTTTAATCACATATTTTTAATGGAATTATGGACTTAATAGTTGGTCTAGCTAGCATATTAATGCAGCTATTATTCACTTCTTCTTAAATATAATTTCCGCTCAACATTACCTTCTTCTAAGAAACTTTCCTCAATGATTCAATATTAAAACTAAAATTCCGAAAAGAAAAACATCAACATTACACAGATAAGAAATATTAAAACAAGCAAAAACCTCCGTTGCTTGAAATTCATCGATAACTGTCATGTCCAAAAGTTTCTTTACGGCCTTTTTTCTAGCCTGTTCGATATTTGCTTTATCAAGACCAAAGTGATTTTTTAATATAGGTATTGTTAAATCAGTCCTATAATCAACAGCTAATTTGAGAAAAAAAAGACATAAAAGACTTTTTTTAAACAAATAATATAGTCGTGCTTACTGTCGTTGATATTTTCATTACTGGTAGACTAGTCAAGATTTAACAATTTCAACTTAATCGAAAGCATAGTAAACCATCCAGTGGCATTCATACACAGAAAAAGTTGAAAAGTTTGGTGGCTTGGAAATATTTCGTACTTACCCAATTCTTTCGATAATTTCCTCACTGAAATGAGGAACGACCAGTAAGGGATGATCTGTGTGCCAAACAGCCTGAGCGATCATTTGCATCAAAATAATAACAGAAAGAGCAGTTGATAGCCACTTATGCAAGATACTTATATCTAACATTGCCTAATAAAATATTAACAATTTAAAACACATTTTAAGCTTGGAAAATTTTTTATACTATTCCTAATTTTAACGAACAATCATCCTAAGCACAAATCTAGAAAATATGTATTTCAAGTTAGTGACGAATTATAATTTGACTTCTAAATATCGCTTCAGTCAATTATTCGTTTCCATCTACTTTATAATTTAATGTCTCACAAATGTTCTCATAGTTTGAGTTTATTCAATAAATATACTTATTTAATAAGTTCCAAAAAATCATTACATTTAAGATACGAAAACACTGATCTAACATTGAGCGTTGGTCAGTTATGTAATCTGTCATCAGCTTTATATGACTTAAATGAGCTTCCAACAGTAGAAATGCCTTTGTATGTGAAGAATCCAAAGCAGCATCAACTGGCAATTTAAGTGGCATGATCTGTTGTAGATGACTGAAATTAATATTAAAAAATAAATACAGGTCACTCAATGCCAGTTTTTGAAGCTAAACTATTCAGCAGAAACAAAAGGAGTTAAGAACATATGTATCTGCGATGCGATATTAATAAATAGTAAAAGAAAATTGACCCATTAATTTGATCTTCATTATGTCGAACAGGTATCTCATCATATTCTGGGCAATCCTGAAATAGCTTTCCTCAGTCTCTTCAAATAGTTAAGGAGAATCTTCCTGAACAATATCATTCTTACAACAAAACTCTCTTAATAAACAACTTAGTAAAAAAAAAATTCCTGTATTCTGGAAACAGTACAAGGGCAACTCTTCATTGCGTAGCAGCAAAATCCATTAATGGTTTATATAAATGCAAAATTAAAAAAAAAAAAAACTGAAACGTACTGCTAAAACTTTTATAAGCTCTTCTACCGTTGCTGTAGGCGTGAGAGAACTGGCAAAAAATCGTACAGTTTTATGATTCAAATAATAAACGCTTGCGATAGCTCCAAGCGGAGCTGAAATAAGTGACTGCTCGTCCTGAAATTTGATATAGAAGATTAATTTAAAACAATATAAATAAATAGTAACACAATTCAAAATATCATATTTATGATACTAGGAAAAAGTAGAGAAATGCTAATTTAATTTGGTAAGGAAATTATATCCCGAAAATTTCCACTTTTCCAATACTCAAAACGATCATTTTCTATAAGAAAAAACATTTCAATCTTCAAGAAGAACAATATTTTCTTGTGAAACAAACATACTTCATTAATGATAATACAGTTAGAAAGCACAAGTTCTTCAATACAATTATCAACCACTTCCACAAGGAATTGTGTTAGAGCTTCTGGTGTTGTATCCACAACACCATAATAACTGTAAAAAAATAATATCAGATTTCGTCATTCACTTATATTCAGGTAGAACAAAGTAATATGTTTTTTACAACTCCACAACTTACTACAATTAGATCCAAATATCTTCCTTAAAAAAACATGAAATCGAACTCATATAAATACAAATTCTTACCTTGGATTTGCAAAAAGACGACGATAAAGGTATGTATTAGCAATGTATTCCATTACATGTTGTTCTGAAGCAATAGTTCCAGCGTAAATTTCTGCATTTACATGATTTGGCAATGCCATGAGCAAACTGAAATGACAAGAAATGTCAAAGACAGAACGAGTAAGTTCTGATTTACTTATGTGCATCTTTTTTTATATATACAATCACTGAGAGCTATAAGAGAAATCCGAACGTACAGTGTTTTAATGTATTTCAGTTAGAAGTAAAATTCATATTCCTTCCAAAGAAACAAAAGCTTAATAACTAAATATAGATGAAAGTGAGAACTGGATCGATAATGTAATTTTATTCTCCAAAAACCAAATGAGCTTATCATAGAGGATAATAATTTTTTAAAAAAAGTATTTTCAACAAATCACCTTGACTCAACCGGAAAAGGTTCGTAGAGGAATCGTTTATAGAAGTTTTTCTTAATATCCTGAACATAAATAACAGCAACAGCAGAATCGTCAAACTGCGGCCGACCAGCACGGCCTATCATTTGCAAAACATCTAAAAGTTTAATTTCAATAAATTTAAAATTCTTTTTATCCTTCTCCTTAATTCTATTCTTCTTGATACCACGAGCCCTTATACTTAATGCATTATACATATTAATTTCGGTTTATGAGAAATTACACATTATAATTTTTATACATACTCTTCGGGATCTTAGAATATACACATATTCTTAGAGATTTCAGATAACTTATAATGTCTCCGCATATCAGTTGAATAAGGTTTATATTGAACTAGATGACTTAAAAGAAATATTTTTTAACATAATAAAATTAAGCTGATACCTGTAACCGGGAAATCAATGTACTTATGAGTTTTCCCATCGTAATATTCGGTCCCTTTAACAACAACCAAGTGTGCCGGCATATTAATACCCCAAGCTAAGGTTGCTGTAGCAACCATAACTTGAATCTTTTTTTGAACAAAAAGCTGAAAATTATTTCCCCATAGAAGTAAATTATAAAAGAGATAAAACTTAAATATAATTTACTGTTATGGATTATTTTTCTGTTATGGAGGATTGTCTTTCTTTACAATGAAAATCCTTTTTTCCAACTAAATAAAAATTAACATCTATGATTTCGGCAATAAATCGTTCGAATACAGAATTTTTCATAGCACAAATCTGTCACATGGAAATTGGAAAAGGGAGCACTTTTCTGTCTTTTGCTCTTCTTAAATATCATAGAAAAGAGTATCGGTAAACATAAAACAAACAAATTTTAACAAAAATTTGTGCTCAAGATACCCGCTCAACAATGCTCCTTTCGTGCTGTTGTAAACCAGCATGATGCATTCCCACGCCGAATGGCAATGTTAATTTCAAATTCTCATCTTTCAATGTTGTTATTAATTGCTCAAGCTGCAAGGAAATCACTGTCAAGATACTTAAATAAAGAAGATTCTGAAAGTTCGATATTTTTTAAAATGCAATGCGCTACACCTTATTTTGATTAATTTTTCATTATTCAATTACTGCATAAACACTTTTTTTTAATATTCCTTTCATCAATAAGGTAGATATCATTAAAAATATCAACTTGTTGGAAGTCGGAAAGTTATTTATATCGTCATGCCATACCGCAAGATCTAATTGATAGTTTTAATATATTGAAATATGAGATATGGATGAAAATTTTACACACTTCTTCCATATCCATATGAAGCCACTGTCGTGGGTCATCATCAGTAACGAGCTGCGAAACAAATGACATTGCAGTTAATCGTGTCTGACGTCGTGATGCCACAAATATAAGAGCTGGTTTACAGGGAGAATAACTTTTGATTGCTAAAAAACTTTGCTAATCAAAAAAAAGGAACCAGATGAAGTCAAATAATAAAAAAAATCACGTAAAGACTAAAAAATTCCATATGAAGATACAATCCTATTAGAAAGGAGACTGGCGATTTAACAATACAAATTGATTGTTTAACAATGAAAAAATGGAATTTTTAGACAAAAAAAAAAGCACCTTTAAAAGCTGGTCGATTCATTAAAGCCATTCGAGGGCAATAATGCTGACCTGGAAAACCAGCAATGTGCACCTCAATAGGTACAGGTCGCACATTTGGTCGAAAATTGAAAAGACCAGCCTAAATTACTCTTTGTAAAAACGAGACATATAATTTTTATAATGTTTCAAGTGCTTAGGTTATCTACAGTATTCTAACAAGAAAAAAATCAAATTTATTAAATTTATCAGCTTACATCGTCAACACCTAACCATTCTGCCACATCGCCTGCATTAGCAAGAGCAGTAGAAAGGCCAACTACACGAACAGGATTGCGCGATCCCTCTTTTCTAGCCATCAGCTTTAATCTGAAAGAAATTCCTGAAGTAATTATGAATTTTCAACATTTCAAGATGCAAATGTATAGCTATCTCTAATGACCAACCTTTGCGAATTTCAGATAATTAGGAATATAAAAATAAAGGAAATATTTGGGACCATCCATAACATAACATAGATCGTTATCCTGCCTACCTTGTTATAATTGCTTCCAATACAGCACCTCTTTCAACACCTAGAAGATGAATTTCATCGACAATTACAAGCGCAACATCTTTGACATATTGACGAATTTCCCAGCTGCGTGTTATACCATCCCACTTTTCCGGCGTTGTAATCACAATTTTGGCTAAACTCAAGCTGCGAATATCCGGTGAATGATCACCAGTAAGCTCAACTGTCCTTAAAATTAGTACTAAGCAGATCATATGTAAACCTTACATATAATGGAAATTAAAGTTCAAAGAATGATGCTTCCAGGAAGCACAAGCATCTTGTATACTATCTGAGAAAAAAAAGTAAATGACCAAAACAGAAAACAGAAATACGGAAATTAATCTCGATCTAAAGGAATAATAAACAGTTGTGCAAAAACAAAAAATGATAAATGAATCGGAAAAATACAAAACCTTATATTCAGCTTTCGAAACTTATCATCCCAATCAGAAACACGTTCGCGCACTAAAGCTTTTAACGGTGCAATGTACACACACTGCAAATAGCAATCCATTTATTCCTCAGAATAAAAAATAACCAAATCTTTAGGGTAAACAATAATTTCCAATTATTTTACAAAATATAAAATTTTATTTACTAGATTCCATTCGCAACAAAAATAAATTTAAAAAATCAATTTAAGCAATTCTTGATGAACCAAACCTTCTTAGCTGGATATTCGCGAAAAATACGATACATTGCCAGTTCAGCACAAAGAGTTTTACCGGAACCAGTTGGTGCGCCTATTAAAGCATTCTGATCTGTATTATACAAACAGTAGAAAACCTATAATAAAATTAGTTTATAAATTGTTTCACAAAAAAATTCCGAGGCCATTAAAGGCAGAGAGAATGAAAGGAAATGAATAGAAAAATAACCTGTGTCTGCACTGGATTAAAAAACTCGAAACTGTAAATCGACTGGAACGTCTCATTTTTCAAAGCCGTTAATGGTAACGGATCCAAATCTAGCAAATCTGTAATTTTGAGTATAGAGCTCGTTTAATTAATAAGAAACTAAAAAATTCAGCATAATAGTAAGACCCGAAATTACTAACGAAACCAATGTACTTCATCTGTACACAAAAAAAGAAGTGGAAGTTTAGATATATACATTTTGCCACGAAAGAAATAATCATACCCGTATGCGGACAATGTGAAGATGGCAAAACACAATTATGCATCGAAATGGGAACAACACTATCATCAACCACGTATCGATCACTTGCAACACGCACCTGATAATTGTGGGTTAATTGCTGATCTCTGATTGGCACCGTAAAAATGAGATTTTGTGGTTCACTGTTACGGACCTACAAAAGAAAAAATGAATGCGAAAAAATAAATCGTACACAGTAGATGTTAAAACATGTGGCAGAAAAATTTGCAAAAAAAAAAACATTGGATTCAATTCAAAAAATTTTTTGTCACTACAACATCAACTTTCGCTGGTTGTAACAAATAATAATTTACAACTGAATAAGAGTTGAAAAGAGAAAAGATAATTTATAAACCTTATTCTTATTAACCACGATCTGATCATGATGAATGATAATGTTTTCATTGATATCCTCAACAAAAATCCAGAAAACTTGAACACCAGTTGAACCAAGAAAATGTTCATTCCAAATGAAATTTGGCGTTAAAATTACAGTCACTTGAATGATCGTGCTGCAAAGTGATCAAATAATTCATAAACTACAGATACTTTGGTGCATCAAATAAGCATATCATTTATCATTTTAATTTTTTCGAGAACAATTTTACCAAGATTTTTTACTAAAATCCTCCAAAAGTCCCTTTTTTTTAATGCTCGCAAGCAAGAATGTCAATAATGTAAAGAAATTTTCGAAGACTGAGTTCTGGAAAAGTTCCTTTGGTTTATTTTACATTCTTTGTAATGAACATAAAAGTTCTAAAAGAAATATGAAAAACACAAAAGTCTTTTATATTTAATAGAGAGGCTATTTTTCATAGTAAAGCAAAACTTTCAGAAACTTATAAAAAAGATACTTGGTGAAAATACTTCAAAACAATTTTGAAATGAGAAATGACCACAAAATCAAACTAGTGGTTAAACTTTTCTACCCCAAAATCTGCAAAAATCATGCAGTTAAAAAAAAGCATGAGAAATATTACAAACTTTGTGACAGGCTTGACTGAAGCTTCCAAATTCATTACTGGCAACATGCGTACTGCTTCATACATTTTCTGCCCATCACAACTTAACATTGTCCCTAAATAAAACCATTTATGATAATGACGATTTTCTATTTATTTTTTGGCACATTTATTTGCAACCTTTTGCACTTAAGCAAATAGCAGTCATGAAAAAATAAGAACTGAACTTTTTTACCAAGTTCTTTTGCGCTCATCTCATAGAGTTGATAATGAGAAAGTTTCCTTCGCTCAATTTTTGGAATCCAGTCTGCTCGAATAAAGTCACTGAGCTGTCTACAAGAGAAATTATAAAATCTGGTTAAAGAAACTGACTTACTAATTATTTTAGCATCAAGAATATAATCCTTCTTTTTTTCATATAATTGCTCAGAAAAAAGTGTGAGTTAAAGAGATTGACCACCAAATGAATGATATAACAGAAAAGTTGAAGAGACTAATCTGCAAAAGCTATAAAAAATTATAAAAGATGTGCGAAAAGCATGAAATTTAGATTCTTACCTCAGTGGTGTCTGAAATGACCACACTTGCTTATCAAAACATTTCGCCATAGCTAAAGTTGCATTAGCTGCTTGAGCCCATCCCTTTCTCAAAGTTATTTCAAACATTGCACGACATAGTCGATCACAGTTCTGTTGAATAAACACTGACTCCGAAACCAATGAATAACTTCCAATGAAAGCTCGTGAAATATGGGCCTACAAAAAATCATGGCTATCTAACTAATATTTCTGTTCCGAAATGATTAACTTCATTATTTACCTGGATTAAACAGTTTATTTTTCCCGGTACAGTTGCTAAAGCACCTCTTTTCAACCGCAAAGGACAGGAAGTTTGTACAAGTTCCTCCAATTCCATCATTTCTTCTTCTCGCACCTTAATCAAAAGAATATTCCAATTAGTAAAAATAAACAAAACAATTTTGAATAAGATACAGAAGAATGATTTTATTGGATTGTTAAAATTTGTAGATATATCCTTCACCTTACACTCGCAGGAAAAGAATTTTTAACCGATTTTATATGTAAGGAAAGGTATTTTAGTAGATTAAAATGACTAGCTATCAACTCTTGAACAGACTACCATCCGAGCTATTGCAATAAATGAAACAGTTACTCTATTAAATCTTAATTACTTTATTAAACCTTAATTTACGACCTTGATTTGATCAAATTCTGTTGCTGATGCAATTAACGATAAAATCATATCGTCACTCATGAATGCTTGCAGTTTTATTCCTCCTATTCCATTCATAAATACTTCAATTGTTTCATATTTCATGTAATAATTTGAAGCTATTCGCCCAAGATCTGTTGATGCTACGTAACCATTTCTGAAAATTATTTCTACAATATTCCATATTACACTTAAAAAATAACCTCACCATAATCTATATGGACCATTCTGTTTTAATTAGGTTTTGATGACAATATTCTTGGTGAATTAACAGAAAGAATTATAATATTAAAACTTACATACTATCAAACCTAATCATTTGATTTTTGTCCAATTTCTCAGCTGCTTCCGTCATCATTTGTGTTAAATACTCATATAAATCAGGGTCATGCTCTAACTGACTCCGAGGTATTCCATATGCAAGGGGATTTAGTTTAGCTCGAATAAAAAAATATGTATACTTGAGCCATTCGACCGCTTCAGGAATACTTGACACCGTCCCTGGAAGTCACAGACACTCATTTTCGTTCTCAGTTCAAAAGTACGATAGAAATCAGCAGTTACAATAAAGCGCAAACAGAAGAAAAAATCCCGCTTGCAACAGTTTGATATTAAGTTATTTCCGAAGTAAATTCATTAATTCTAACTAAATAAGAATAAGTGACAAAAAAATTGGGTGAAGTAATAAAACTTTACAAAATCTTTTTTAGTATCTCGTTGTAATAATATTTAGGATATCAATAAACACGAAATGGACCTAAAGAGATTTCGGCATTTAGATTATCGTAAATTCGCGACATAAACTGGCTTTCAATGGGCGCTTGACGAAGCAGCATATTTAAGTACTGTGGCATACTTTTTTTCCATGTAATGATTACGCCATGTCCTATAATTTGTTCACACGATAAATAGATGAAATTCTAAAAATTAGCACTACAAATTCAATACAGATTCAGCCTATCAGACTATATCAGAATTGCATCGTATGAGTTGTAAATAATTATAATGTACAATAAAAATGACCCGCCCCGGTGCAATGCATATAACATAATGAATTAACTTCAAAATATTGCTATTTTTAGCAGTTTTGGCACTTAATAAAAATAAAAAATGATAGTTTAGAACCAATTTTCTTGTTAAATGTAAGAAAACTATTACAAATTTTAAAAAAAAGCCATTCGATTACTGGTCAGTTCTTGGTTGACTGAAAGCCTTATTCATTCAATCAAAGCCGACATATATATTATTTAGCAATAAACGATACAATGTTAATGCGTCATGTCTACGTTGAAGAGAGTTTTAACACGAGCAACATTTGACTATATTACAGCACTGCAAAATATAACCTATAGAATTCCGTAAATATCACAATGATTCATTATTTACCTGAACTCTCATATTGTGGACGACCAGCTCGACCAAAAATTTGTTGCACGTCGAGAACACCTATATCACTGAAACCGCCTTTCTGAACATTGAAGATTTCAGTCCCCTAAATGATTTTGCTCGGGTTTGTGAATATTTTACAAATCTTGAAGTTTTTGTTTCAATACATAAACTACATATATATATATATATATATAGCACTTTTAAACAATAATTTTCAATGACTTAACATAACACAGTAAGACAACTTAAAATCCAGGAAAGAAGTAAATAACTCTAAATGAACAATGGAAATCTTACTCGAATAACAACAGCATGTGCCGGCAAATTGATACCCCAGGCAAGAGTTGAAGTGCAAAAAAGCACGGTAATGTGTCCATTAGCGAAGAACTTTTCGGTCATCAAACGTTCCCGGCGTGGTAAGCCAGCATGGTGAATACCAAAGCCAAGGCGAAGAAATTCCGCTAACATACCATTTCGACAGTTTTGAACCTGAAAAAAAATATAATTCCTTTATTTGATCCTAGCTTTCGACTGCATTTTTGTGGATTTTATTGCTATCATATTACCAACGGTAAGCTTGCCATGGTTGTTTATTCTGTTAACAAAATAGATTTACTCAGATATTCATTCATTTATTACTACTGCAACAAATATCTTCTAAAACATGGATGAAAAAGTAATTTTATGAATCACCGATTTCATTGCATTAATGTACTGCACTGAACCATTATTTGTAGGTAAAAAATGACTCAATTCTCCCTGAAAAGATTAACAAAAAGTTAATGGATTAACAAAGATTTAAAAAAGTATTTGAATAGATTAACAAAAAGTATTGGTTACTTGGAAATCATTAAAATATTTGAAACTATTAAAAGGACATAACGACACAACATATTAAAAAGTATTCGAGTTTGATGCTGTGTATAATATTGAAGAACTGCAGGAAAGAAACCCTTTTTGCAGCTTCATCTCTAAAGGTTGTCGCTAATTTTGTAGTAGCATTACGGGCTGTTACAAAGACAAGAACTTGGTGTCCTTTGCTCACAAACTGATGCACTTTGTCGTAACACACTTCGTCCATTTCACGCATTATATCTGGTCCCATATTTCGCGGATTACGAACACCAATAAAACTTAAAAGAATGTCGTAATATAATCTATTGAATGCTAAATGTCGCACTAGTAAGGATTCAACAAATTGGGTGATTTATTACATATTATATCAAAAGTTTTCGTACAATTTAATGTATTCTATTGCAGTATTTGTATGTTTTGATTTTTTGCATCTTAATTTTCTAATTTAAAATTTTAAAAAACTTTACGTTTGTGAAAGTGGAACCGGTCGAAAGCGGCCGTCAAAGAAGAACATCCCTTTATGGGGGTTTACACGCAAAAACCTTGCAACATCGATATAATTTGGTAGCGTTGCAGAAAGTCCAATAATCCTAACACACTGCTGACTCATTTCCACCTGAAATTAGGAGCGTAATCCAGTAATTTAAAGTTAAAACAATTGCAATAGAATATAATGTTATCTATAGGTAATCAATGTCACTACTGACAATTATACAGAATCAATAAAATCAAATTAATAAGACAAATATAATGCAAATTTCATCAGAAAATAAGGCAAGACTTATATAGTCCAATGGATTTTATAGTTGCATCACTTTTAATAGCTAACAGTTATAAATTATAACATATAAAAGATTAAAATTAAAATTAAAAAGAAAACGCAAATAATGCACGTAAAACCTGTCGAAGTGTTCTAGCAACTATGGTTTCAATTACCGGTCCTCGATCATCGTGTAATAAATGAATTTCATCTATAATCAATAGCCGTACCATTTTTGACAGTGGTAAATCGATAGCTTTTCTCGTCACAACATCCCATTTTTCTGGAGTTAGGACAAGCATCTAAATAAATACTTCAAACATAAATTTCTGTCACGTGGAAAAAAAATTGATAATTCTTCCACAACTATTACTAGTAACATGAGTACAAGCCATTGAAGTAGACTTCCTAGTAAAAAAATGGACCAGTAAATAAACTGAAATAAAAAAAATGCATAAAAAATGGACCAGTAAATAAACTGAAAAGGCTACCTTTAGGTTTACCGTCAGCATACTTAAAGATGCCAATAATTTCACTATAGCTTTTTTTTTTTTTTTTTTATTCTCTCAACAGTCTTCAAAACATAAGTATATTTCCTTCGTTTAAATATTACATCTACCCGTATTTAATTTCAATTTCTCGAGCTATAGAAAAATGTCTCTCCACCTGTGTTTCGGCAATTTGTTTCCTTGAAAGTGTTGTGTCACCGGTTAATTCACGTACATGTAAATTTAGTGGAGCTAATCGCTTAGCAAAATTCATCGTCATTTCAGTTGCCAGTGCTTTCATTGGTGCGATATAAACAATCTGTGACAGTTTCACATAATGCAAACATAGTGAACAAATTTTCAGATGCAATGAACTTCACAAAAGGATTATGATGTAACGATAATATTTTTGATGCAAAGAACTGGATTACTTTTATAAGCATCACAACTGTAATTTGTGTTATTTTATCAGTTAACAAAGCCGTACTTTGAAATCATTTTTGTGAATCACACCATTATCCATGTAAGCATGTATCGTGTTTAAAATTGCCAGTAGTGCAATATTCGTCTTACCTAAATTTTTGGCACATTAGTTCAAGTTCGTCCTAATTATAGATATTAAGACTTGTCAGCCCTTCTGGATGGGTCTATACAAATGCAAACAAACATTATCACACCTGCACCAGTCGGAGCACAAATCAACAAATTTTCTTGTGATTTGTAAGCTTGCGTAAACACCAATGATTGAATAACATTAAGTTTTTCGAAGCCAATAAAACACTTCTTTCCTAACTGAAACCACAAAAAATATCAAATTCTGACAAAATAGGAATTGAACCAACAAAAAATACAAACATTTTTCTAGGTGCATCATCTAAACAAATTTTGATGAAGCAACCGTGTTTCTGCTAAATAAATAAAAGAATATCTCCGAACCTCATCAAAATCCTCGATATTAATTTGTTGCACTGCTGTGACCTGAGATCTATCCATTGCAGGAACATAAACTTCTTCATAAGTGTCACGAATTACACGAGAAGAATTTGCCGGTAAACATCGCTTAAAAAATATATAGTTAAATTCACATCATTCTAGCCTTTCTTTTCTCTTTTAATTAGGTGACAACTCCCACTAGGCAAAATAAACCATGAAAACAATTAACTAGTATGCCCAATATTTTAATTATGGGGTTTTAGGACTTTAATTCGGAATTGCAGTAATTTGTAAAATAAAAGGAAAGCCTGCCATACTTTTTCCTTTACCATTTTTTCGCATAAATATAATTACGTATTACTGAACAAACAAAACCTTTGACCCGTCAACAGTGATAAAAATATGTTCGGATTCGGTTAACGCATCGTATACATATGGAAAACGTTCACGTGGAACAGTTCGCCGATTTTCATGCAGTGTTTCCAACCACCGTCCCGCCTCCAGCTCTTGAAACCTGGCATAAAAGTAAAATTTAATGTGTCCCACGACATCGAATTACCACTGAAAAAAGATTTTCCTCAGAAAACAAACCTCTCTTTAAGCATTTCGTTTTGGACCCGTTTCAATTCAAGCTTTTCACTTTCGCTTAGATTTTGTGTAATTTTATTTAGCTGTTTAGCAGCACGTTTCTGCTCTCGCTTTGCCATTTTGCGCATGTTTACATCGGCATTTGACTGAACTATTACCTGTTGACAATACAACGGCTGTTCCCTTTGCTTTTGTGACTGTTGCTAAATTTGATATGAACTGTCAGGGCTTTCTCGAAAAATTTAAAACAAAATTTTTGCTTAAATTTCAAATTAGATGAAAATTGTAATAGTCAAAAATTTTAAATGAAAACTTCTATTTATTATGTTATTTGCGGCAGCAAGCAGACAATCCTTGCAAATTGCAAAGCTTCAAATACTAGAAATGAAAAAAGAGTTTATCTCATTATTTCCTTAAGATAATTAAATAAATTGAACTTTTTTCATATCAGTGTTATACCAATATTCTCTCCAGTTTCGTAGTTTGAGCAATATCCTGACGAACTGAGTTATAAGAATTTAACAACTCCTCTCTCGACGACAATATCTTGCTAACTAAATCAAACTGCTCAAATCCAAGTAAATCGATAAGCTGGAAAAGAAAGAAGTCAATTACTGGACTAATTAGTCTGCAGAAATGAAGCAGCATTTTTCAGTCAACTATTTCCAATCGCTGTGAAGTACAGAAAATGAATTCAGATTTTGGCACAAAATTCTGCATTAGAAAAATATACGAAACCATTCTGCTTCTACAGTAACCTCATATCTCAGCATTATATGAAGTATCTGTTGCAGACCAAAGCACTACATGCTTGCAAAATGTAAATGCTTCCTTCTTATAAATTCTGTCCTGTTTTGAAGAAAGGATGTACTTCGCCTTGTATATCGTCATCTTCATTTGGAGAACGCAATAAATCAAATAAATGCCGACTGACTGATTCTGGATCGTCATAAATTCCGTTGATTGCCGACATAATATCGCCACTTGTCATAATCTCCTGATGATTTTATATTTTATAAAAACATTTCTACCATAATTTGACCGAAATGCATCAATTGTTCACAGTTGTTGCCACAGGTAAAGTTATAAAAGATAACGCGTCACAATTTATAAAAGCTTAGAGGAAAATATCCACTACAACACTTAAGAGTAATGGAAAAGAATTAGTCCACTCATCAGAACCTTTGATGAAGATGGTGCATTATTGATGGTGGTACTGGGAATTGTTATAACGGTATCATCAGATTGTGCAGTGCTAGAATGAAGCGCTTGTTCGACGAATCGTTTTCTCCAGTAGATATGTCGTGTCGTACTAAATTAAGGCTACATATCTTTGCAAACCCGTTAAAATCAGTGTATATAAAAAGCGAAAACTTATAAAAAGTGAATGTTTAGAACAAATTATTCCTTTTGCCTAATAACTTTAACACATTCATGATATGACTAATATTCTTGAAAAAGGTTTTTATTAAACATTCCGAAAAACTTCACATTAATATCTAACATTTAATTGTTGTCATCAATAACAGTTGATAATAATAGTAACAGCTCTTCCAACATCGGCTTTCTGACTTTCTGAATATTTTATTTTCGAAATGTTTATTAACTAACCGTGGACCATATTCGTCTGCAGGAGGATTTATCGTGTCTGTGCCATATTTTTCAACGAATTCTTTCATACTTCACTGCAGCTTTTTCCTATAAATTACTTCATGATTTTCTTAAAACTTCTCCTTGCAGTAAACCGTAAATAATAAGCACTTCATATTATAACTGATGAAGACATCAATAAGTGAAGCTTACATCATCCACAGTCTATCGTAATATTGTTCTATATAACACTAAGCAAAAAAAGTGCCTATAAAATCCCAATGATCGGAGTACTCCAAAACCATTGTCTTGTTTGTTTTGTTTTACTTATAAACTTCATGAAATGCAAAACTGCTTTACACTACATATTTAACCTTCTGCAATGCAACTATCATACAATTAGCTTCTCTATATCTGCGTGCAAAATATTTCTGCCCCTCAACAACAACTAAGAGAAGTCCCATTTGCATTAAGTAACCACTTAGTGATAACATAACAGGGTCATCGTTGCACAGTATTACTCCGAAAATTTTCAGCAAACCATTGGAAAACCTTGGGTTTGCTAATGGTTTGCTATATAATGGGATAATCTCGCTAGAAAACTTTGTTTGATGTTTTTGTGGTTACAATGAAAATATTAGGCTTTTTACTTGTTTAAATTATATGGGCCTATTATTAGCTTCTTTCTGTAGGTAACGAATGGATGGGAGATTAAAGTGGTCTGATAAGGCTGATGTAATTGTAGTATAAGGATTCTGATATGTTAGCTATCAGATAGTTAAGCCAGGAGGAAAAGAATGATACTGTGTATGGAGAGAAGAGAAGAGGGTCAAAGGGCACGCTGTGTAACTTCGAGAACGGAGTTTCACTGACCGATGAATATTTAGTTGAAGGTATTGCAGGGCATTGTATTTGGAATTTTGTTCGATTTGTAGAATATCTATATGTGAAGAATGAACTTATTCGTTTAACTTAAAAATAACTCAATTACTGATTTCAGTTCTCATTTTTACTTCTGTTTCTTGTATTTTTTTTTTCACTTTTTATAGAATATTGTAGATAAAGTTTGCTTCAGCTATGCTTCCAGTACAAATATTAAAACAAAATGCTCATGAAGAACGAGGTGAAGGAGCACGTTTATCATCATTTGTTGGTGCAATCGCAATTGGTGATTTAGTAAAGTCTACATTGGGACCGAAAGGAATGGTTAGTTAATTGTTCCAAAATGCAAATGTTAAGAGAATTTTATATTTTTTATGTCGTTTTTGTATGGATATTGAGAATTTATTGCAGACAATTTGACAGTTTGTCTATCTCTCGAATTTATAATACATTTAAGGATAAGATTTTGTTGTGTGGTGAAGGTGACTCACAGCAAGTGCAGGTAACAAATGATGGAGCTACTATTCTGAAAGCTATTGGTGTTGACAATCCAGCTGCGAAAGTTCTCGTCGGTAAGTGAATGAGGTTATTAGTAGTTAATTTTCAGAGTGCTCTCTTTAAGGCAGAAATTCTGGTGGATTATGACCGTCACTGAGCATAATACTGATATTGAGGATAAGCTCGTAATTTGGAAATCATAGTCATCCATCAGTCTCTACTTTTTTCACTTTCATCTGTGCTTTTTTTTTCCTGGTAATGTGAAGTTCTCATTACTTAGAAATTTCGATGACACAAGATTCGGAAGTGGGTGATGGAACAACATCAGTGACCGTTCTTGCTGCTGAGCTATTGAAAGAAGCCGAACGACTGGTTGCTGCCCGAATTCATCCACAGACAATTATTGCTGGCTATCGACGAGCTTTAAAAATAGCCCAAGATGCGCTCCGAGCATCGGCTAAAACTTCTAGTCCAACAGATATGCGTGATGACTTGTTGAAAATAGCTCGAACAACACTGGGTTCCAAGATTTTAGCGCAACATAAGGAACATTTTGCTCAACTTGCCGTTGATGCTGTGTTGCGTCTGAAAGGTTCTGGATGTCTGGAATCAATTCAGATTATCAAAAAACTGGGTGGTTCGATGGATGACAGTTATCTGGATGAAGGTTAGAGTAAAACATATGATGATGTCAGTTATTATGAGACTGGATTATGGAACTGTTATTTGGTAAGGATATTTAATTCCCTTTCCAAGAGCAGACCCTTGTTGATGACTTCATCTATAAGATCGATTCTCTTGGTAAATTGTATACTTCTCATTGTATTCGCTATTCGTATCAAAGGCGATAGTGATTGCTTAACAGAAGTGACACTATTATTTCCTAGCAATTTCTTTTTAGTTATTAAAACATTGCTGCATGCGGTTCATTTTCCATTTTAAGGGTTTTTGCTTGAAAAACGTCCAGGCATGTACCAACCAAAAAAAGTTGAAAATGCAAAAATTCTGATTGCTAACACGCCGATGGATACCGACAAGGTTTGTTTACGCACTGTTTAGTGGATGGGGCTGAAAGTCTTAAGTAAATAGAAGTAGTATTGCTATCATTTTGAACGCAAACAGCGAAATTACTATTCCATTATCTCATAGTTCAGTCGAAATTACTATTCCATTATCTCATAGTTCAGTATGCATTTATTTTGTATCTGCTTGAATATATCTACTATAATTAGATATATCTTTGCTCAGGCAGTTCCGAATTTTTAGAATTTGTAGTTTACGGAACGCATCCACTGTTAGTGTTAGTGGCGCTTGCCGTCCTTGAGTCAGTCTGGGACTTTTTTTGGATCTTAGGAATATATAAACCTGTTAGAAGGAAACAATTTAATTTCTAGGTGAAAGTATTCGGTTCAAGAGTGCGTGTTGATTCTGTGGCTAAAGTTGCAGAACTGGAAGTTGCTGAAAAACAAAAAATGAAGGACAAGGTTGGTTTACGAATTAGACAGTTTAGTTTGTACTATTAGCAATAGCATTTTCAAAAATCATCCTTCACGTCAATTCAGATGGTCTGAAATCAAATTTCTATTGCAGGTAAATAAAATCCTAGCACATAAAATTAACGTATTTATCAACCGTCAGTTGATATACAATTATCCGGAGCAGCTCTTTGCTGATGCTGGTATCATGGCCATCGAGCATGCCGATTTTGAAGGAATAGAAAGACTCGCTCTTGTTCTTGGTGTGTTTCCATGACCTTTCTATTCAGCAGATTCTATTTTTACCTGTTAAAGGTTCTATATCATAATTTATAGGTGGTGAAATCGTGTCAACATTTGATTCACCTGAATTAGTTAAACTTGGTTCTTGTGATCTCATCGAGGAAGTTATGGTTGGTGAGGATCGGCTGCTGCGATTTTCTGGTGTTCCTATTGGTATGAGTAGATCTTTGTGAAGTATCTTTAGCGACTTTTTTTATTGTCTTTTCCTGACAATTGAATTCATTTTCTATTTTTATTAGTATTTGAAAATATATTTAGTTCTTTTTTTGTGATTTACTGGATTGCATAAATTATTGCTATATTACTCTTTATAGGTGAGGCTTGCAGTATTGTTGTCCGTGGTTCTACTCAACAAATTCTTGATGAAGCGGAAAGATCACTTCATGACGCGTTATGTGTCTTAGTGACTCATATTAAGGAAGCACTCACTGTCGCCGGCGCTGGAGCGTCCGAAATTTTGATGAGCACTGCAGCGATGTCCGAAAGTCAGAAGGTATCAATAACAATTAAATTGAAATATACTCAGTTCATCAATAGCTGAAATAAATATTTTAAAACTAAGGATGATTTGGCTACTTTTTCTAATGTTTCGTATAGTAAGTTTCTCAAATTAAGATTGCTGGGAAGGAGTCGCTTGCTGTAGAGGCGTTTGCTCGTGCACTGGCACAATTACCAACTTACATTTGCGATAATGCTGGTCTGGACAGTGCAGAAATCGTATCAAAGTTACGTGCTTACCACAGTAATAATAATCATAGCATGGGAATTGGTTAGTTTGTGTGTTTTCTTGATTATGCGTGGTCAGTGTCTGATTTTTGGATATATTGGAAGGCGAGATAACTTTTGATCTTTTCATCTATAAAATGTATACATGACTCATCACTTCGAAAAAAATGTTATGCACACGTAAAAGAGATTTTAAATGGAAAATGAGTTAGTAATGAGGTATCTTTGATTACAGTTACTTAGAATAACGGTTCGATACCTTTTACTTCCAGTTATCAACAATAGCATACTGCGAAACACATGATTTCGTTCGAAGTTATTGCCGTGTACAAATTTTCAGATATTGAAAAAGGGGAGCCAACGGACGTTATTGAAAAAGGTCTGATCGAGTCGTTCAGTGTAAAGTTGTGTATGGTTTCCAGTGCAGCAGAAGCGGCTGAGCAGGTAAAATGTTTGAATTGCAATTATTTCTGAAGGACTGTATGCAATATCATATTGTCACCGTAACTGTAAGTTTTGAAATAAGGCTGTTTTATAACTTACAGATTCTTCGTGTGGACAATATCATCAAAAGCGCACCACGACAACGAGCGCGCGATCGTAGACCTTGTTAAATCTCGACAAAAACTGATTCCATTGTTTGTTGACTGCTAAAATTTATGGAGCTAAGTAATACTATAGTAAATCCAAAGGATCGTTTTCATAACCCACCAATTTTCAAATCCAAAAATTTGGTAAGCTAAGAAATGAATCACCTGTTCGATTCTTTCTCTGCTTTTGAATTCGATATCTTTAGTTGCTATTTTTTCAGCTGAACTGTTTGATATAAAGTTTGAGTTTTCTCAGATATTACTGCTGGATTGCCTATGATTATTTGGAAAATAAACCTTTTCTTGATTTTAGTTTGATGCACATTAATGATTTGCATTTTCTAAGTCTCAAATTTCCAGCTGTATGCTGCAATCTTTTTGTTTTTAAGCAAATCACGCGCAAAATCATTTGTGCGTTGATTTTTGCTGCGCAATAACTTTTAGCATCTAACAAGCACAAAGCCTTTAATCTTTCTTCCGTTGACCCAGGCATAATCAGCTTCTCTAACCAAATTATTCTTTGATATTTAATCAATCGAATAAACATGTACTTATATGTTCTGAAATACTTAGCAAACAGTTTGCATTATTCTCAATTGGGAATCGAACTACACATAATCTAATTTCAAAATGCCAATGCGACTGTGAAGCAGTCATTTTGATTATTTGTGTTCATTTGGAACGGTCTCTGATAGCTGTTAAGTGATATAAACGTGAAGTATCAATATTAATGGGGAATGAAGATAGTGATGATAAGATGCCAACTGTTGGTTCAGAGGTCACATTAAAAGGCAAACAGTATCATATTCAATCAGAGCTGTATGATGGGCCTTTTAGCAAAGTTTATGCTATCAATGAAGGTTGTATGCAATATGCTATGAAAATTGAACGAAGAGCAGGATCAAAAAGGTAATTTTGTTTTTTCTTGCACCGAAGCTATTTATATTGTTGGAATATTACAAATAACTGCAATAAAGAAAGACGATGAAATGCTTGTGACACTATGAACATTTAAATAATGGAAATTAATTATGGAAGGAAAATGTTACCTTTGTTTTAGCAAAACGTACATTTATATACAACAAAAATATGTTCTTTATTTAATCTAGAATCTAATGCAAAATTCCTGAAATTAAATAGTGTCATTGTTCTTTTTTTGGATAAAAACTTTTAAAATGTGTTTTAATGAATGAATTGATTATTTCTACTCTTCAATGAATATACTGATTTTAGTGCTATATACATATATATGTATATGATGAAACAAAGATAATTTTATCTATTAATAGGCCTGTATTGAAACTAGATGCATTAGTGCTAAAGCAACTAAATCGTCAAAATATTACTGCTGGTTTTCCACGTTTAATTGCTGCTGGTAGAACACCACTTTATAAATATATTATAATGGAATTGGTTGGCCCAGATTTACAACGTTTAAGACGCTCAATACCAACAAAAAAGTGAATAAAAATTTTCATTTATTACTAAAAATTTTGACTCAAATATTATTAGATTTTAGTGAAGTTGTTATACTTCATTTTCATTTCATCATTTTCCTTCATTAAATTTTTCAGTGTAGTAAAATAAAAGTATTAAACATATCGTAAATTGAAATAGTATGAATGAACTATCTTATGAAAAAAAAGCACAACTATGTTATGTGACTTCTAAAATACTCGGCCTTTTTCTTATTTTTAATAATTAAGATTTCAATTAAACTACTACTCTCAACAACGTTCAATTATTGTTTTCAGTTACACTAAGGAATTATTCCCTTTTTTTTATCTTTATAATGAAAGAAATTTGGGAAACACAATTTGATCATCATCTTTTGCATTTTTTTTTCTTTTGTTTCAGATTTAGTTTGTCAACAGCGCTTAAACTTGCATCTCAAACACTGAGACGTATCGAAGCGCTTCACGATAGCGGTTGGCTTTGTCGTGATGTTAAGGCAAATAATTTTTGCATTGGAAAGAAAAATATGGGATTAATTTATATGCTTGATTTCGGTTTTGCACGAAGATTTATGTTAGTCTGATATGTTAACTAATCTTACTTTATAATTAATTAATTAATATCCTATTAGCTTGGAACTGACCCTTTATAATGAAATAACAATATAAATATAATCATTCTATTATTAAAATTAATGTAGTCGTGAAAATGGTACATTGATTGAGAGACGAAATGCGGCCAGTTTGATGGGTACAATATATTATGCACCGATGAGTGCACATAATTTTTCGGAACAGTGTCGAAAGGATGACCTGGAATCATGGTTTTATATGATTATTGAGATGGTTGTAGGTAAGTTATATCTACAATTAATATAATTAATAAAAATAATCCTTTATTAAATCAAAAAACAATATTTTATAGATAGTTTTCAAATTCAAATTTATAGACAGTTTTCAAAAATTCGAAAAAAATTCAAATTTGTCAAAGTAGTTTTCAAATTCCTTATTTGTTAAAAAGAAAAAATAAAAATAAAAGAAAAATATGAGAAATGAACAAATTGAGCAGCTGAACGTTTATTTTGTAGGAAATTTGCCATGGTTTATCCATGATCCCAAACGAGAGTACTTGTTAGTTGGTGAATGGAAAAAATTTGCACGTGGTCCTGGTAGAAAATTATTGCTTGGTGATTCACCTCAGGAATTTGAGAAAATTCTTGATATCATCGACCAAACTGCGTATTTTTTCCCCAAATTTCTTATTTTATTCCAGAAAAAGACTTTGTTCCTTTGATTTCCTTGAGAACTTCTACAAAATTATAGAAATATTTCAAAATACTTTGAAAGGTTTAGATTTAATGCCCGACCGCGATATCGTGTCATTCATGCTTTTATCAATCAAGCAATGGATCGCTTAAAGGTACAAAAATTGTCAGCAATGTCAACTATAAAAAACTTCCGAGGTTCAAAGTGCTCCAAATTGTACTTGATAATTACTAGCATGAAAAACTCTTGGAATGAAATCCTGTACTCTTCGGAAAATCAATCCTCTTTTAAGATGTTATTTGCATATTCAGATTGACAAAACTAAACCATTTGAATGGCAAGAAGACCCGAAAGTGCTGAAAAAAATTGCTATGATTGGTGGGCACGATGAATCCAATTTAGACAGTTCTTCTGAAGAAACCGATGAAGGAGACGGACCTTTAAATGTGTCGAATAGCTAATAACCAGAAAGTATCACATTTCCCGTTGTAAGAAACTACTCAATTTTATAAAAAAATTTGTGAAACAGCCAAGTTTTTGTACAGTACCACTTTTGTAATGCGTCTTATATGAATCACCAGTCTCTAGGATGTACATATTTATATTGCGTTTGATTATAAATTTCAACTTTACATTATTATAGTGCGGTAAGAACCACAATATAATTTTTATAGCTCGTTAATAAGCTCTATTCTCAATAGGAGCAACTCATAATGAACATCTATTCTACATTTGTCTAGTTCTAAGTAATGATCTAAGCGACTCGTAATCACTTAACAAAATTTGCAAAATAACTGACCTAATGTAACAATTTATTTGGTGTAATAACAACAAAACATGAATGCGCAGGCATACTGAACACAAAAAATACAGAGAACATAATTCTGTTCAGCAAGAAAGAGAGAGAAATAGTTTCTTTTCCTTTGAATGAGAAATCGTTCGTCCAAAAAATTAGAGAACCATGCAACTGAAGGAACGAATTTTACTGAACACTGCCTCTAAATAGAAAACACAAGAATTCTACTTATTCTCCTGCTTCAATTACATATTCACTTCACTTGTTTGAAGTGAATATGACCCTGTCTTCTTAACAACTGAATACTATCTAAAAAAAAATAATATTGTGAAAATTCACGATGCTGTAGATTCTTTTGCCATATGTTTCAAGTGTTCCGGGATATATGGAACAGCACCAGGTTTTGAATGCTTTCTTCTATTTTCTTCCTTGCGCCGCTGCGATAAATTTATTGCCTTATGCTCTTTTGTAGCACTAAAATTGAGAAAATCTTTTGAGAGCATAAGTGTTGAATTGGGAATTTGTAACCAAATATATGACTTGTTATCATAAGATTAAAAACTCAGAGTTTACGCATTATTTTTGTAAATGGAATTAGGTATCATAATGCAAATATGTTAAATCTCCTTAAAAAAAAAAAAAAAATACGTGTAAATTGATCTCGGAACGAAACGACGCTTCACAATTCGCCTAATTTCAGGGTGTTCACCATATACTTCCAACAGTCGCGCATTGTAATTAAGTGCTGCACGTTCACGTCGGTGTAGCTAGAGTAAAATTAATTAAGATCTTATAGAATCTTACAGAAATCAAAATTTTAACGAGTGCCAAAACTGACTAAACGGAAAAAAAATAAGATAATAAAAAAAATAAAATAAAACACCTACTGGGCCTAATTTTTCACTTGCATTTGCTTTCCATAAGCGAATGTTCATCTCATCAGAGCCAGATAGCACGAACTTATTATCTAGTGACCACAGCACAGAAAGGACTTGCTGCATTCGCTTTGTGTGATATATTTCCCTTAAAAGCATTCGTTAATTTTAATCCTAATTAGCAGCGAACGAATTGCTATCACTAAATCTTTCATTTTTTGAACAGAAAGAGCAAACCAAATGAAATTATACCGGCTGCTAAATGACTCCACGGGAAATATTCTTAATGAACGATCGTAGCTTCCAGAAACAAATTCAGTTCCTGTCGGTGAGTAGTCGACATCCATCACTGCATTTGTATGACCTTTGTATACGCGCCGAGGATCAGTCAGTTTTCGAATATCAAAAGTATATAAGCTAAAAAAAAAATTCCAAGCAAAGTTAATGTTGAACAACAATACTGAAATAGAAATAATAAAAAGGAAATTCCAAGTAATAATAAAAGAAAAAATTACTTGTAGTCTTCGTTTGCGGCAGTGAATGTAAAAGCTTCCATGGGATTCCAGCTTATCGCATTTGGACGCAATTTCATTGTCACCTGAATGAATCTCATGTTGAAAATAGCGGGTGACG